GTTTCTCCCTGTAGGAGCCTGGGACCCCAGCGTCTCGCCATAAATGAGTTCAGTGTGTTCGAGAGCTTGTCCCCTTCCGATTGAAAAAAACCACACACCAAGGTGCAGCAGCCTTGCGCGCACCCCTGTACCTCTGTTCTTGGCGCCTCTCCCCTCCTACTCGGTCTCAATGCGCTTTTTTCTTTCCTTCTAGTTGTAGAACTTCCACTCGATCAGCTTTCCCGTGGTTCTGGATGATAGGTGTTTTGTCTTATAGTTGTGGTTTTAATGTTGTTGTGGGGGGCAGCACGCACAGGTTTGTACCTTATGCTGCCATCTTGGTTCTCCTTCAGATGTTTTTTAAATTGTTTTCCTTTTTGTTTCTCTGATTGAGTGATTTTTCCAACCCTATCTTCTAATTCATTGATCTGATTCTCAGCTTCTCCTAATCTGCTGTCTATTCCTCCCTATTGTTCTTTATTAGTCCTGTGTCATTCTTTGTTTCCTCTTATTTTTTGTTCTCTTTTCATAGTTACTATATCTTTTCCCATGCTATTGAACATCTTTGCCATCATTATTCTGAACTCTATATCAGATAAATTTCTTATCTCATTTTCATTTATCTCTTCTTCTGGAGAATTCTCTTGTTCTTTCATTTTTTTAAAAAAATTTTTTGTCCCCCCATTTGGGCTGCCTGTTTGGGTTTGTGTCTATGCATTAGGTAGATTTGCTATGACTCCAAGCCTGTAGTGCAGGACAATGAATGATAGGTGTTGTTTCTGACTGGCCCCGAGTATCCTGTTTGTGTCTGTCAGCAATCCACAGCTTGTGGCTCCCTCTGTTGGGACTGGATGCCTTTGGAAAGGACCAAGATGTGCACCAGTATCTGCTTTTCCTAGCCCAGGGCAAAGACTCAAAGTCTCCAGAGATCCACCTTTGCCTGCAGTCTGACTGTTATCAGCCTTGATTAGCCTCAAGCTATTGACCTCAGGGTGGGGTCATCCAAACAGGTGTGACAACTGCCTTTCCCCAGGCCAAAACCACCTGGATAGCATGATTCATCAAAGAAAAATGGCCTCTGCAGAGTGAGGGAAGACTTAGCCCAAGAAACCAGGGGGTTTGCCCTCCAAGCTCCAACCCCAGAGCACCCAACCCAAGATTTTCCTCACACAGCTAGCTCCAATTCACTCTCTCCTCCTTCTGCCAGAGCCCAAGGGGAGTGGCTACACATGAAATTTTAATTGGTCCTTTAAGAGGGTGCCTGCTGCTTTTTACAGCCAGGTGTTATGTGCTCATCTTTCTTAGTTCTGGTGCTCTTGGTTGGGGAGCCCACCTTGGGGCTTAAGAGCCCATAGTTCTCAGTGGGAACCCCTTACAGCAGAGATATCCCTCTGGACCTTCAGCTGCTGTCTGTGGGAGCCTGGCCACCCCTTTCACGTCTCCATCTCTGCATACCAGTCTCTCATGCAGTCTCCATTTTCCATCCTAGGTTATCAGTTAGTCTTCAGTAGATTTTTCAGGGTGTTTTTTCTGCATTTTGGTTGTATTTCCTGTTTGGTGCTAGGAGAGTGTCAATGTAGTTTCCACTTACTCCACTGCCATTTTTAATCTCTCCAACATGTCTTGAAATTTAGGTAAAAAAATATTTTGCTCTAGGATAAAATATCCTGGCTGTCATGTGTTTAGTGCTTTTGAAAGACCTCTGTTACTAGTCTACCAATATACTGGCTATATATTTTTTATTTTTTAAACTAGAGACACGGTACATGAAAATTCATGCACTGGATGGGGGGTCTCTCATCCCAGCCTGCCCCCTCTCACAGTCTGGGAGCCCTCAGGGGTAAGGGGTGACCCGGTGATATGGAGAAGGCGATGCCCCATCACACCTCTGCTGCTACTGCCAGCAGTGCAAGCCTCGGCCGGCCCTGGTTACCTGAGCCTTGGGAGGCCCTGGGCGGCTGGGCAGCCGACATCTGAGACTTGCCTGCTCCTCGAGCCAGCCCTGGGTGGCTGGGGGGCTGAGAGACTCCAGACACAGGCACAGCAGGGTCAGGCCTGCCTGGGGTGGGGCCTGGCTTTGCCATGTGCCTGCCGCCCTGGAGAGGCTGAGGGGACTGAGTGTCGCCATCTTGTGGCTGTGGGCACCACCATCTTTGAGCGTGGGGCAGTCAATTAGCATATTCCCTCCTTATTGGCTGTGGGCACCACCATCTTTGCGATGGCATGAGGGTCAATTATCATATTCCCTCTTTATTAGATAGGATTGATTTTTAGAGAGAGGAATTGAAAGAGAGAGATTGAAACATCACCATGAGAAACATAGATCAGCTGCCTCCCATGTATGCCCTGACTAGGAATCGAACTCACCACCCTTTGGTGTATGGGACAATCCCCCAACCAACTGAGCCATACTGACCTGGCTGCATTCTTTTCTCCAAATTACTGTTGTTTTCCTAATATAACCTTTTATAGCATCTTTTATATTTTCCTTGGGTTTATTTTCTTCAGAGCAGACTAGCTATTCCTACTGTTTTACCTTTATTTCTAAAAGCTGAATTGCTTTAAATTAAGTGATTGAAGATGGGATTTTCAGGAATTGATATACTTGTGATAATTTTGAGTAAAAGTCAATAATAATGATAATTTTGAAACTGGAGTCAAAGTTATTAGAGATAGAATCCAATTCACACAACTGATATAATAGTCTTATCCATGTAGAGCAGCTTCCCATTTATGTGGGCATATCTTCACTGTCAGGAGAAAGTACCATAACAATTCTACCCAGTGACAATGATACCCATTTTGTTCAAAATGGATTATTTGATTTTTCTACAAAACAGTCTTGTGTAATTTAGGGCCTTACATTTTGGGTACTCAAAAATAATAAAAATGTCAAAATCTGATACTTATTTTTATTGATACACCTCTCTGATAAATATAAAAAATATAATAATATTAGTAATAAAATAATTAATATGGAACATATTATTATTAAGCATCATCCTATCTAATGAAAGAGAAACATGGTAATTAGCTGTACATCCCCTACCCTTCCCATTGGCTAATCAGGGTGATATGCAAATTAACTGCCAGCCAAGATGGCGGCCGGCAGCCAGGCAGCTTGAAGCTAACATGAGGCTTGCTTGCTTCAGTGACGGAGGAAACCAACATTCCCGCCTGCCTTGCCGGCCTCTGACCTTGAAGTTTGAAACATTGTAACAAATATAGAAGCTAAACAAAACCCCAGAAACCTGCTTTCAGCCAGCCGGGATCTCAGAGCTGGAGTTGATACAATGTTTCGATTATAGAACCCAAACAAACCAGATACATGCTTTCAGCAGCAGAGGCCTCAGAGCTGGAGCCAGAGGTAAAGCTGGCCCAGAATAAAAAAATAAGAGAAAAAGGAGCGGTTGGGAGCTTCAGTCACCCGCCAGCCTGAAAACAGCCCTCAGCCCCTCACCCAGACTGGCCAGGTACCCCAGTGGGGACACCCACCTTGAAGGGTGTGTGACCAGCTGCAAACAGCCATCATCCCCTCACCCAGTCTGGCCAGGCACCCCAGTAGGGACCCCCACCCTGATCCAGGACACCCTCCAGGGCAAACCAGCCATCCCCCACCCATGCACCAGGCCCCTATCCTATATAGTAAAAGGATAATATTCCTCCCAGTACCAGGATCAGGGGAGCCGCGAGGCCTGTGGCTCTGTGTGTGACAGGGGGTGGGGCCACAACCTCCCTATCCACCCTGCTCTGTTCGTGACAGGGAAAGGCGCCCCAACCCCCTGATCAGCCCTGCTCTGTGCCTGATAGGGGGAAGCTCCCCAACCCCCTGATCACCCTGTGGCTCTGTGTGTGACAGGGTGCAGCGTCCCAACCCCCCCCCCCCCCCCCCCACGAGCCCTGCTCTGTGTGTGATGGGGTAGAGCCGTAACCTCCCCATCGGCCCTGCCCTGAGTGTGACAGTGGCGGCACCCCAACCCCCTGATCGGCCCTACTCTGTGGGTGATAGAGGGCGGAACCCCAACCCCCTGATCCACCCTGCTCTGTATGTGACGGGGGCGGTGCCCCAACTCCCCTATCGGCCCTACTCTGTGAGTGACAGGGGGGAGCTCCTCAGCCCCCTGATCGGCCCTGCTCTGTGCATGACAGGGGGCAGCACCCCAACCCCCTGATGGGCCCTGCTCTGTGTGTGACAGGGGGCAGCGCCCCAACCCCCTGATGGGCCCTGCTCTGTGTGTGACAGGGGGCAGCGCCCCAACCCCCTGATGGGCCCTGCTCTGTGTGTGACAGGCGGTGGTGCCGCAACCTCCCCATCAATCCTGCCTTGAGTGTGACGGGCCGGTGTCCCAACCCCCCAATCAGCCCCACCCTGAGTGTGACTGAGGGTGGCATCGCAACCTCCCGATCCTTGCTGCTCTGTGCATGACAGGGGGTGGTGCCCCAACTCCCCAATCAGCCCTGCTCTGAGCCCGACCAGGGGCTGCACCTAGGGATTGGGCCTGCCCTCTGCCACCCAGGAGCAGGCCTAAGCCAGCAGGTCGTTATCTCCCGAGGGGTCCCAGACTGCGAGAGGGCACAGGCCGGGCTGAGGGACCCCCCCCCACCCCCGAGTGCACAAATTTTTGTGCACCGGACCTCTAGTATTATATATAATAAAGTATAATTTATTTATTTATAAAAAGTAAGTATCCTTTTTGCTATTAACATTATGATCAATCTTTCTTAGAAATCAAGGAGAAATAATCACTAATTATTAATTTATTTTAATGAGAGAGAAAAAGGGAGAGTGAGAGGTTTATTGTTCTACTTCTTCATGCATTCATTAGTTGATTCTTGCATATACCCTGATCTGGGATCAAACCTGCAACCTTGGCCAATAAGAATGATGCTCTAATCACTGAGATACCTGGCCAGGGCCAATTACAAATTTTTAAATATGAAATTAATTGTATAGATTTGCCAAAAAGAGAAAATATCTGTTCTGCAATACATGTTAAAATGAACTTCTTTTCTCTTTCTAGGACATACCGAGGGAGAGCGTATTTTAAACGGCAGTTTTATAAGCAAGCAACTCAAGATTTTTCTGTTGCAATTCACTTGGATCCTAATAACTGGCTAGCATTTTATTTTAGAGGCTGCTTATTTAGAAAGAGTAACCCTTTTAGAGCACTACAAGATTATAGTGTTTCAGGTACTTTGTTTTCAACTGCACATATAAAGGATGATTAATATAATATGTATATTACTAGAGGCCCGGTGCATGAAATTTGTGCACAGGGGCGGGGGGGGGGTGTTGTCCCTCAGCCTGGCCTGCACCCTCTCCAATCTGGGACATCCCTCTCACAATCTGGGACTGCTGGCTCCTAACTGCTCACCTGCCTGCTTGCCTGATTGCCCCCAACTGCCTGCCCCTACTGGCCAGATCACTCCCAACTGCCCTCCCCTACTGGCCTGATCGCTCCCAACTGCCCTCTCCTGCCAGCCTGATCGCCCCCTAACTGCTTGCTCCCCTGCCGGTCTAATTACCCCTAACCGCCTCTGCCTTGGCCCTCGCCACCGTGGCTTTGTCTGGAAGGAAGTCAGATGTCAAGGAGATGTCCAGTGAACCCAGTCTAATTAGCATATTACTCTTTTATTAGTATAGATTATATAGTTACATATATACTTACATATTAATTTATATAATACATATTCATATATACTTAAAAGATACAATAGTTTAGCTAAAAATGTTTCTGATATGCCCTTTTAATGTATGTGAGTATATATGTATTTACCCAGGTGTGTAATTGTGGCAAAATGAGAATATCATACCAAAAAAATACCTTTCTACATCTTGAGTCCTGAGGATATTTCTGGAAATTAAGATCTATTTCCTAGTCAGCTTGCTAAATGGTAGTGGATTATCCTGGTGGGCTATGTCCTACTGCATAAGTCAAGTCCATGGACTAGTCAAATTCAGAATTTTTTAATCCTTAAACTAAAAATGGGCTTTGAGAATCTTCAGTAAGAAGATGGGAACAGCCATTTCCTCCTTACCCTATTATCAGTGCATTCTTGGTGTATGAATATGCCCAGCACAATTCTGGGCATAGGTAAGTGCTCAAGAAATAATCCCCATCTGAATAAATTAGCCCATTCTAACTGGCAAACTCCACCCAACACTCCAAACATGATTATGGTCACCTGGGTACAAAGTGCTAGAATCCTAGATGAGGCTATATCCAGAGATTAAGAGAAGACTATACTCACAAAGCAATACAGAGTTCCTCAAGGCAGGCAATCTAAGGTGATTGTTACTTGATGTCTCTAACTCCATTTGCTTTCTGACGTTACCCTTTCCATGAATATTAAAATAAAATAACTCAAATCTCACTCTACATGTTGAGAGGAGTCTAGTGTCCTTCCTTCTATTTCCAAGATTTCTTGGAAGAGAGGGCTGCGGATTCCTGTTTAATTCTCCTGTAATCTTTGTAGCTAATGTTTGCCCTCCGATTCTGCATTTTTGTTGTTGTTGTTGCTTACCCACTTATTTCTTGTCTGTTACTGAACATTTTAGTGTTCAGAGGATAAAGTTAGCATAGACAATTTAACTTTGAAGGTCAAACACCCCTATTTCTGTAAGTTTATCTAACTCTTAGCTCTGTCCATCTGCATCTGGCTGCACCTCTTCCACCCTGGTCTCTGAAGGCCTCTTTCTCATGTTCCCCTCTTCTCCATATTTTGGGCTTCTCACCCCCTCTTTTCTAAGCTATCACAATAATATAAAATCCTTGACATTAAATTATTCAGGAAAGACCAGCTTGATTTGGGCCGCAATTCTTTCCTAAGGAGTTTTCTCTTCCACAATCAAAAAGGATCTTCAGGGTATTTTTTTCTAAGCTACTAATAATATCTAACATTTATTGGACATTTTTAATTTGTAAAGCATTATTCTAAGTGCTATATCTGGAATGTCTCAATTAATATTCGAGATAATCAATATAATTCCCATTTTACTGATGAGAGAACCAAGGCACAGAGAAGCTAAGTGATTCTAATAATAGTTTCATTAGGAAGAATTTTTCCATGTTTCTAGAGCAACCACCAAACTGCAACCCACTTTCTCAGTGCTAGCCAGTCATACTGTGAACTGGACAGTCATATTTCCTTCAAGTGGTTATTTACTTAATCTATATGAGCTTTTTTTTCCTTTTTTTTTTTTTTTTTTTTTTTTTTTTTTTTTTTTTTTTTTTTGTAGTAGGCACGCTTTCCAAAATCTAGTACTGTGAATATTTGTGTCCCAGACTGTGAGCACGATGCACCTTTTTTTGGTAAAACTTTTCCTTCTTAGCTGAAACAAGCTTGAGAAGCTTAGAAGACATAGATCAAATAGTGTGGGAAACCCATCTAATTCAGTAGCATGTGTGAGAATTAGTAATCGGAAAGACATGAGGTAACCCTTAGACTGGTCACTAATGAGAGCCACAAACCTGGAGTGTTGAGAGGAGACTCTTCTGCCTGATGTTTCTGCTATTTGGGACCTGCAGCATCATCATCTGCCTTAACTCCCAAGTTCTACTTCCATCGGAGAAGCCTCTTTGAGCGCCAGCCCTTTGTGTGTGTCAGCTGGAACTCTGCTGTGTGCCCCAGTCTGCGCTTGTACTAGAACCTGTTCTTTGGTGATCAAGGGTAATGGCGCCCTTCTGACTGCAATCCACTGAAATGAATCAGAAGTTAGATTTTAGATTCTAGGCCCATCTTTGCCCTTGATTTACATCACAAACATGGCCAGTGTACCCAGCCCCACCCCACTGGACCCTAATCTCTTCATCTATAAAGTGAGTGGCCTATCGTAGATTTCCACCAGGACTTCTTCCAGCTCTAATAAGTTTGTGAACCCTGAGAGACACATTGTTACTCATAAACAAATACATTTTATATGAATACTTTATACTCTTCAAAGAAGTACACTCATTGTATACATGTTTTTCATTATATAATGTTTTAAAAAAAGTAGAAAGGTTATAGACTAAAATATAACTCAGATAAGTTTGTTCAGAACCTGAATAAGAGATATATTTTTATTTTTAAGCTCTCATAAATGATGGCTATGAGAATCTTAGTTGTTTCCTACATCGGGGCCTACTCTATGCACATCTAAAAATGTGGTTGCTGGCAATTTGTGACTTTGAAACTGTTATTTCTCTAGAAAGGTAGGTTTTCCTTTCCATTTTTACTAATATCCTTTTTGTGTAAAATTTTTAATAAACAGTGAAAGAAAAAGCTTTTCCCCCTCATCATTAATAACTTGGTAAAAATGTTATAATTATGAAGTTATGCTAGAAGTAATTAAGATATTACTTCTAAAAATAAGATTACTTCTAAAATAAGACCTGTTGTTAACATCTGTTTTGCCTCAGATGGTTTTGAAAACTTTAGAGACTGAACGGGTTATGAGGAATTAAATCCATGAATGATAAAATAAACCCCACAAGTTTTTTAAAAACAGGTTGAAGGTGCCCAGGTTAGAGCTTTTTGAAGTTAACTTTATATAACACTGTCATCAAGTTTTAAAATAATGAGAAAATATTCTTCTTGATATATCATTGCTATGCACAACACACAACTCAATAGAAGGAAACCTCTATTTAGAACTTCCGACTTCATTTAACGTAGTAAAGCAAAAGGAAAAGAAGCCAATAACATTTAGAACTAGTGTGTATAAGGAAGGAACACAAACTGAAAGCTATATACACTAGTCAGAAAGTTAAGCTATAAAACAAAATTTGATTAAATATTCCCCCCTTTCTCCAATGAAGCATTTATTCAAATGGAAGATGCCAGAAAGAGTAATAAAGCAGGGGGATTCCATGCCAACCCCCAGACTGTTTACTTAGCATATCAATAAGGCACATTTTGCACTTGTCCGGGAAAGTCATGGTGTATGGCTCCATAAAAGCCACGGTGATTTTCTTTGGGATATTTTTGAGCCAGAAATGGAAAGACAAGAGTTTCAGTTGCAAAAAGCTGAAAGATGGGCAATAAGAACATGGGCATCTTGTAGGTAAGGGGTCAGGGCTCCCATGAAGTTAGGCTGTAGGATGTGTAGTTTCCTCATTTTGAAACAGGAGCATTGAATAGGTAATTTCTAAGGTCATTTACATATTGAAAATTGTTTTGCTCTAAGATAGAAAACATTTATTTGCTCTAGAAAAGAAGCTGGGTTAATACCTATGTGAAGAGGACTTTTAACCACAAGCCTTGAGACTATCATTATTTCTCATTGTTACTCATGGTGAATATAATAGAACCCGAGGCAAAATCTTTTTTTTAAATCCTCCCCCAAGGATGGATGGATATGGTTGTACGTATGTTTTAAAAGAAACATTGACATGAAAAAGAAGCATCAATTGGTTGCACCCCAACTGGGGATCGAACCTGCAACCTAAGTATATGACTTAATTGGGAATCAACCCCGCAACCTTTTGGTATATGGGAGGACACTCCAACCCACTGAGCCACCTGCGGAGGGCCCAGAAATTTTTGAGTTTTGGAAAACCAAGCTTGTAATTCAAGATAAATCAAGATTAAGTCAAGGAAGAGTAAAGTACTGCTAAGAATCAGACCTCAGGAATTCTGTTCCTAGCCCAAACTCTACAAATGTTCAATCCCTGCTAAGGATTTTATAAAGGTGTTTATATGATTTTTAACAGAGTGTTTAGTTAACTTACGTTGCTTTAGTAAAGCATTAAAAGAAACCTGCTATAAAAAGATGTATTTCATTAGGTTCATTCATAATTGAAGAACGTTTGGAGTGGAGTAATTAAAATGTCTAACAAGATTTTGCTTTCTCATTTTTTTTAGAACTGTTACTTTGGCTTATATAAATATTGGCATCATAGATCTGCTACACTTAGACAACTACACGGACGCCACTTGGTATTTTTCTGAGGCTCTCAAAATTGATCCGTCATCTATTCAAAGCTATATGTGCCTAGCAGAAACTTACAGTAAGGTATTTAAGGTTTGAGAACCTTGATTTTAAAAAAAGTTTTAAATTTATGGATATTTGTTCAATATAATTTAAAATTTGTTAATGTATTTTTTTCAGATAATTACAGTAGCTAATGCATTTATAAGCAATACATATTAAGTAGATATAGTTAACTATAATTGCCCAGTTATAAAGACTGTACTGATGAGGTATGACTTTTTGCCTTTCATTTTCTTTTAAAAAATACATTTTTTCCTAATTACAAAAGCAACATATATTTGTTGCATATAATACCTTTACTTGTATATAGTCACAGATAAATTTAAAACTACCAATGATTTTATTCTTTAGGGATAACTGCTATTAACATTGGGATCCTATCAGTTGTGTGTGTGTGTGTGTGTGTGTGTGTGTGTGTTCATGATAGGTGAGTTTTGAATGGAATTTGTGCATAAAATGGGATCCTACTCACTCATGCTTTCCTTTAGATTTTGTTTAGATTTACATGTTATTTGAATTAAAAATGTAGCATATCCTTTATGTAACAAATTCAAACAATACAATAAACAGGAAGTCTCAGCTGACTCCAACCATATCTGACTTTCCAGAGAGAAACACTGTTAACTGTTGTCTCTGCCTTTCAAAATAGATAGCCCTTTCCACTACTCCACCGCTAACCAAGACCCTGTCATTCTCATTAGGACTATTGCAGTAGCCTTCTGGTCTTCTTGCTTCTGTTCTTTACTCCTTTATGATGGACTTCAACACAGCAACCATAGTAATCCTGTTAAAACATGCCAGATTATTTCACTTCTTTGCCCAGAATCCTTCAATAGCTTCCCTTGGCACTCAGAATAAAAGCCAAATCCTGCAAAAGCCAAAGAAAGGCCTGCAAGAGCCCATGTGAATTGGCTCAATACTTTTTTGCTCTTGTCTCCTACAAGTCCTCTGGTCACATTGGTTTCCATCAGATTAGGCAGGTTATGATGGGGGGGAGTGGTGGAGCCACAGAAACAAAACACCAACCCCACAAAAACAAACATAAAACTCCACTTCAAAATCACTATTAAAATAACAAAATGTTTTGTTTTTCTTCCTCACACTGCATCTCCTAGGCGATTTGACTAGAGGCTCTGGTGTCCACCCTTTACATCTCAGGACCCAGTGTGACTAGACTCCCATTGAGAGCTCTTACCTTCCTGGAGGTGGAAGACCCAGGGCAGGTTAGGGTTAGGATGTTCCCCAGGGAAAGTTTGCTCTTGACCCCTGCTGGGAAAGGGATGGGCATACTTGTGGTGTGTGGTCCTTTTGCTTCTACATGTTGTTGGAGCTGAAGGCTTCTGAAATTTCCTTTGAGTGCATTTAGAAACCCAAAACCCCAGCACCATGTCAGGGTATAAGGACATGCATTCAAAAACTCATTGTTCTGAGGAGGCAAAAATTTCTGCACAGTAGTGAATAAATTATGTTGTATTCACACACAGAATGTTATCCTATCTAATAAAAGAGAAACTTGGTAATTAGCCATATGTCTGCTACCCTTCCCATTGGCTAATCAGGGCGATATGCAAATTAACTGCCAGCCAAGATGGCGGCCGGCAGCCAGGCAGCTTGAAGCGAACATGAGGCTTGCTTGCTTCAGTGACGGAGGACTCCAACGTTCCCTGCCTGCCGCTGCTGGCCTCTGAACTTGCAGTTTGAAACATTGTTACAAATATAGAAGCTAAACAAAACCCCAGAAACCTGCTTTCAGCCAGCCAGGATCTCAGAGCTGGAGTTGAAACAGTGTTTCGATTATAGAACCCAAACAAACCAGATACCTGCTTTCAGCAGCAGAGGCCTCAGAGCTGGAGCCAAGCCTCAGAGCTAAAGCTGGCCCAGAATAAAAAAAAAAAAAAGAAAGGAAAAAAGGAGCAGTTGGGAGCTTCAGTCACCCACCAGCCTGAAAATAGCCCTCAGCCCCTCACCCAGACTGGCCAGGCACTCCAGTGGGGACCCCCACCCTGAAGGGTGTGTGACCAGCTGCAAACAGCCATCATCCCCTGCTTCAGGCTGCCCAGGCACCCCAGTGGGGACTCCCACCCTGATCCAGGACACCCTTCAGGGAAAACCAGCCGCCCCCCACCCATGCACCAGGCCTCTATCCTATATAGTAAAAGGGTAGTATGCCTCCCAGCACTGGGATCAGTGGAGCCGCGAGGCCTCCCGGCACCGGGATCAGCGTGACAGAGGGCAGTGCCCAAACCCCCTGATCGCCCTGCAGCTCTGTGTGTGACGGGGCTGGGCCACAACCTCCCTATCGGCCCTGCTCTGTTTGTGACAGGGGAAGGTGCCCAAACCCTCTGATCAGCCCTGCTCTGTGCCTGATAGGGGGGAGCTCCCCAACCCCCTGATCACCCTGTGGCTCTGTGTGTGACATGGTGCGGCGCCCCAACCCCCTGATCGGCCCTGCTCTGTGTGTGACAGGGTGCGGCGCCCCAACCCCTCCACCCCATGGGCCCTGCTCTGAGTGTGACAGTGGCAGCAACCCAACCCCCTGATCGGCCCTGCTCTGTGGGTGATAGAGGGCAGCGCCCCAACCGCCCCCCAGGGGCCCTGCTCTGTGTGTGACGGTGTAGAGCCATAACCTCCCCATCGGCCCTGCCCTGAGTGTGACAGGGTGCAGCGCCCCAACCCCCTGATCTGCCCTGCTCTGTGTGTGACAGGGGGCGGTGCCCCACTCCCCTAGTGACCCTACTCTGTGAGTGACAGGGGGTAGCTCCCCAACCCTCTGATTCACCCTGCTCTGTGCATGACAGGGGGGAGCTCCCCAACCCCTTGATGGGCCCTGCTCTGTGCGTGACATTGTACGGGGCCCCAACCCCCCTGATGGGCCCTGATCTGTGGGTGACAGGGGGCAGTGCCCCAACCCCCTGATTGACCCTGCTCTGTGTGTGACGGGGGTGGCGCCGCAACCTCCCCATTGACCCTGCCTTGAGTTTGACAGGTGGCGGTGCCCCAACCCCCCAATCAGCCCTACCCTGAGCATGACTGAGGGTGGCATTGCAACCTCCCGATCTGCCCTGCTCTGTGCATGACAGTGAGGGGTGCCCCAACTCCCCAGTCAGCCCTGCTCTGAGCCCGACCAGGGGCTGCACCTAGGGATTGGGCCTGCCCTCTGCCACCTGGGAGCAGGCCTAAGCCAGCAGGTCGTTATCTCCTGAGGGGTCCCAAACTGCGAGAGGGCACAGGCCAGGCTGAGGGACCCCCGTCTCCCCCCCGAATGCACAAATTTTTGTGCACCGGGCCTCTAGTGTAGTCAATAAAAAAACAACTAGAACTATATTATATGGTATCAGAAGACGACTAGGTTTGGGTAGGAAGCAGGTGATGTAATATATAGATAATGTACTATAGAATTGTACACATGAAACCTCTATAATGCTATGAACCAATGTTACACCAATAAATTTTAATTTTAAAAAGGAATATCAGCTGACTGGTATAAGAAAAGCAAGATTCAGAAAGGAGTATAAAGTATGTACAATGTAACTCAATGTAAATAAAACAATCACAAATGAAACCACAGCATACAGTATAGAAGAATACATATGCCTACTCTGTGGGCTCAGCCTCCAGGGTGAATCTAATCTAAGGCTGTCTGGAGAAGTCCATCCCCAGGTCAGCTCATAAAGATCAGAGAGTGAGCCTCCAAGTTTCCCAGTCTGGGTTCCAATGTATAAATATTTACGGGTGGAACAGACATGTGAATAGGTGATTTAATACTTACACCAACCTGAGCAGGGTCAGCTTGAGAAGCAGCAGGCCTGAAGTCCCACAGAAATTCTCCAATTAATTTAAATACATCTCAAACTCTCTCCTTTTGGGTTTCCCCTTTTTGACCCCACTCATTCTTTCCTCCAAACAGTTGTACAATTTCTGCTTCCATGTCTGCTTCCATGCACAAATTACTGCATTCTCCTTTTTGTTTCACCATGTCAGTACAGTAGACAAGCTGTTGCTTATCCAGATTCATTCTGCTGGGGTTTCTGTAGAACTCCTTTTATAATATTCTCAGTGATAATAGGCTTTTGTCCCTAAATTTGTACAAATCCAGATTATGCTGCTGTGACCAGTATTAAGGAAATAATCAATGTTTAGAACATTCATATTGATTTTGAGCAGTCATCTTTTTTCTTTTTCTTTTCTTTTGTTTTATTTATTAATTTACTTATTAATTTCAGTGCAAGCTTCTTTGTTCCCCCTAATTTTTAAGTGGAATTGATTTTTACTTTAAATTTTACCCTTCTTTGCATGAATAAAGTTTGGTGGAAAAGGTGTTATAGATGAGGGAGAAAAACTGAAAAGCTAAACAAAAAAGGAAAACAACCCAAAATGTTGGATATAATTACATTTATAAAAAACTAGAGGCCCAGTGCACAAAAATTTGTGCACTCAGGAGGGTCCTTCAGCCTGGCCTGTGCCTTCTCGCAGTCTGAGACCCCTTCGGGAATGACCACCTGCTGGCTTAGGCCTGCTCCCTAGGGGATTGGGCCTAAGCTGGCAGTCAGACATCCCTCTGGCAGCCCGGGAGCCCTCAGGGGATGTCCACTTGCCAGCAGGGAGCAGGCCTAGCTGCAGTCAGACATCCTTAGCACTGCTGAGGAGGCAAGAGAGGCTCCTACCACCACTGCTGTACTGGCAGCCATCAGCCTGGCTTGTGGCTGAGTAGAGCTCCCCCTGTGGGAGCACACTGACCACCAGGGAGCAGCTCCTGCATTGAGCATCTGCCCCTGGTGGCCAGTGTGTGTCATAGTGACCAGTGATTCCCAGTCGCTCTGCTGTTAGGGTCAATTTGCATATTACCCTTTTATTATATAGGATAGAGGCCTGGTGCATGGGTGGGGGCTAGCTGGTTTGTCCTGAAGGGTGTCCCATATCAGAGTGGGGGTCCTGCTGGGGTTCTTGGGCAGCCTGGGTGAAGGGCCGAGGGCTGTTTGCAGGCTGGCCACAGCCCCTTCAGGTTGAGGTTTCCCGCTGGGGTGCCTGGCCAGCCCGGGTGAGGGGCTGAGGGCCCTTTTCAGGCTGGCCACACCCCCTTCAGGGAGGGGGTCCCCACTGGGGTGCCTGGCCAGCCTGGGTGAGGGGCTGATGGCTGTTTGCAGGCTGGCCAAGCGCCCGGTGGGGACCCTTACCTCATGAGGGTGTGGTCAGCCTCGGTGAGGAGCTGATGGCTGTTTGCAGGCTGGCCACATCCCCCAGCCACCCAAACTCCCAGTGGAGGCTGGCTGGAAGCAGGTATCTGGCATTTATTTAGCTTCTATAATTGAAACTTTGTTGCCTTTTGAGGAGGCCACAACTGGCCAGAGCAGGTGGGAAGCTTGGCTTCCTCCACTGCCAGGGCAACCAAGCCTCCTGCTTGCTCCAGCTCCATGGCTGCCGGCTGCCATCTTGGTTGGGTTAATTTGCATATAGTCACTCTGATTGCCTGGTGGGCGTGGCTTGGGTGTAGCGAAGGTATGCTCGATTAGCATCTTTGTCTTTTATTAGTGTAGATTATATATATGGGTATGTGTGAAAATTCTTCAACATTAAAGATAACTGGTTTTTAAAAAACAAAAGCCTGCCTCACAAGCTTTTCTTTTTACTTCTTTGTATTCCATTTGCTGTGGTAACTATTTTTTAAACAAATATGTTTTCATTGATTTCAGAAGGAGGAAGGGAGAAGGAGAGAGAGAAACATCAATGATGAGAGAGAATAATTGATCAGCTGCTTACTACATGTGCCCTTCCAAATGCAATATACTTATATATTTTGGTCATGTGCAACCTAGGCATGTGCCCTGAACAGGAATCAAACCATGACCTCCTGGCTCATGGGTTGATGCTCAACCACTGAGCCACACTGGGCTGGGCTGCTATGATAATTCTTAAGAAAAACATGTATTAGGAAATGTTTCTGCAAAATTTCTGTATTGAAGAATGGCAGGGGATAAACACCAGAAAGGAGTGTTATTATGAGCTAAGTTTCTGTTTATTAATCAACAGGTGAAAAAATTGCAAAAGGCAGTCAGAGAGATAACTCGTGCCATCCACCTTCAGCCAGATCAAATCGAGTTATATATAATAAGGTATTGGCATAGAAATCAAATTCTTCAAGTCCTCTCTTGATCCTACCAGTGTCCTTTTACATTTAATCTTTCAGCGGTGGCCAAAACCCAACTACCAAGTCAGATATAGTTACTGGTTTTGTTAAGCTTGAACTAATTTATACTATAACATAACCAGAGCTTTCCCTTTGCTCTATCCTTACATCAAAACACAACTGTTTCATGTTTTAAATTATGTCAAGCCTCTCCACATTACTGGTTATGTAATTATTACAGGGCTCATGAAAGTAGGATAATATTTTGAACAATTATTTGATTGTGTCCACAGAGGTACCAAATGTGAACCTCAGCTAATTCAGTGGGGGGAAAAAGTGACACATTGAATTGTATTTCAAATGCCATAGAGTTTTCTATAGAGAGACTCATTGAACATTATGAGTTATCACCCCCCAAAAATGTTATTGTCTCTAACTCAGGAAATGGACATATAGATACAGGAAAATTGACTAGAACAATGCTTTCTGATAAGGGCTTGCGTTGTTTTTAAACCCTTGAACCACATTTTAACAATTTATGTAATGCTTTTCCACTTTTCTGTACCTTGAGCTGTGTTTATTTTTTTATTAATTTTTTAGCAACATAGTTTAACATTTTAAATACAGTAATTGCAAAAAGATTTGAGGTTTTTCTTCTTTCACCTTCATATTTCCTAAATTGCTTTCTCATCACATCTCCAAACTAATTGGTTCATTTAGACAACATAAAATGTTTATAATTTTCACAATGTTTTTATCATACATATTTAAGTATACATAAATGTATTATAATTAATATAATTACAAGTAACTCGTTATAAGAAACTTTGTTGTGGAAAAATTCTTTTTAACTGCTTAGAATTAAAAAGGCATTATTTCTTCCAGAGGACAATATCTTCTTAGGATGAAATGTTATGATCTTGCAAAGTTCACTATTTACCAAGTAGCAGAAATGAACAAAGGTAAATATAATTAATGCAAAATTATAATTGCCTTAACTTAAAAGTAAATGCTTCTTTAAAATTTTTATGGTATTTGCAAAAGCTATGCATAGATAGCTTGAAGGGTTCACTTGAAAATCGAAGTTAGATTTTTGAAACTTTAAAAGTTCCATTTCATTTGTACATAATCAATTAGTAGAATGCTTCAAAACAGTGAATTTTGTGAGAGAGGTTATTATAGGAAATACCAGGCTTACACTTTTATTTATTTTGTTTGTTTGTGTTGGAATGTCTTATTGTTTGTTGATAGTAAATAGATTTTAGTATCATATTGATTTGTTAACTCATATTAAAATATAGATCATTGATTAAAATATTACATGTATTCTGAATCCCAGATACTTGGCAAAGGTATTGATAAGCTTTCCTTTTATTTTAGGTCTCATTGAGATGAGTCCTATACAGCAAGCACTCATTTATTCATTTTGTGAAAACCATGACAAGGCCATTGAGGTGTTGGATGGGGCCACTTTGAATAAGCCTGAGATCAACATAATTATTCTATTAGCAAAAACCCAAATGAAGGCCAAGAGAACCAAGGTACAAAGTCTTGAGTAAGCTTACTAAGTCTATTAATGGACTTGTAATATTTTGCTTAGAATGACTGCTTGCATATCTTTTTATAAAACTAAATTATATCATTTATTTATTGATTCTTTTGTTAATTAACATTTAGGTTGTTTCTTTTTATTATTTTTCCCCCTCTTAAGAGTAGGGCTCCCCTAGCCGGTTTGGCTCAGTAGATAGAGCACAGGTCCTAGGACTGAAAGGTCCCTGGTTTGATTCCAATCAAGGGCACGCATATGTGGTTCCTGGCTCTTACAGGGCCCTGGTTGGGGCACCTGCAGGAGGCAACCAATAGCTGTGTCTCTTATATCAATGTTTCTGTCTCTCCTCCTCCCTTCCACTCTCTCTAAAAAGCAATAGAAAAAATCCTTGGTTAGGATTAACAACAACAATAAAAAAGTAGGGTTACTAAAAATATTCTTTTCCTGTCTTCTGTTAACACGTGGAATAGTTTCCCAGGATTTCCCAGGAGTGGAGTTGTTGGTGTGTAGAGAATGTGAATGCCTACCTTTCAAGCTAATGATACATTGTTCCATAGGATTGTATCAATTTATTCTCCCACCTGCAGTATGAACGTCCTGCTAATCTGTATCTTCTACAATAATTGGTGTTGTCATGGTTTATTTTTGTCAGTTTGGAGGAGAAAGACCACTCCTTGTGGTCTTAATTCACATTCCTTAGTTTGAGCACAGATTTAACTTCTTTATATATGTTCATTAGGCACTCATATTTCCTAGTCTATCAATTTTCTATACACAATTTTGATCTTTTTCCTATCAATTTTAGGCATTTTAAAACTAAATTCTTTTATTAATTCTTGGTTGGCTATATGTTTGATACATATCTTCTTGCAATTTGTGGCTGTCTTATTATTTATTTATTTATTTATTTATTTATTTCATCATGCCTTTTGGCGAAAAGTTCTTAATTTTAATGTGGTTGAATATATCTATGTTTTATTTTGTTGTCATGACTTTTAAACATATTGTTAAGAAATTTCTTCCCTACTCCAAGGTCATAAAGATAGTCCTATATTTCCTTCTAAAAGGTTATAAGTTTTACTTTTTCCATTTAAGACTTTACCTTAAATATATATTTTGAGTATGAGACAGGATAAAATTTCATTTTTACCATATAGATATTTGTGTATCATTATCATTTATTGAAATGTTCTCTTTAACCCAAAGATCCAAAGTACAACATCTATCATATTACGTTTTTAAATGCATGGATCTGATTTTGATATCTCTATCTCTATTTTGTTCCTTGGGTCAATTTTTCAATTACTGTCCCAAGAGTATGATGTCTTAATCACTATAGCTTTATTGTAATTCTTGATATCTGGTAGAACAGGTGCCTACAATGTTCTCCAGGCATTTTCTGGTTATTATTGGGCCTTTACTTCTTCATATACATTTTAAATTCAGCTTGTCAAGATCCATTAAAAATTCCTTTGGAATTCTGATTGAATTTTATTGAATCTCTAGAATATTTCAGGGAGAGGTGACACCTTTATGATATTGATTCCTTTCAGAAATGCTACTATATTAACTTTAATCTCCCCTCATGCCCTCATTGCTCTGCTAGAAAACTGGGGTAACCTTTGATTGTTTCAGTGGATAGAGCATATGCTATCAATAGTGATGTTCTCTTGGTTCTATATTTTAAATATCTCTCAACTCTACTTCCTCTCTTGATTTTTATGGTCATCACTCTAGTCAGAGCATATTTATTTTATTTTACTTACTTTTATTTTATTTATTAAATTGATTGGGATGATATTGGTCAACATGAACATATAGGTTTCATGTGTGGGTTTCTATGTTAGAAGATTGGTATACTGCACCTTGTGCCCACCACCCAAAGTCAGCTCTTTTGTCACCTTGTATTAGGACCCCCTTCACTCCCCACCCCTACCCTCTGACAACCACGACACTGCTGTTTGTGTTCATAGGTTTCAGGTTTATCTCCCACATATGAATGAAATTATATGGTTCTCAGCTTTTTCTGACTGACTTATTTCACTTAGCATAATGTTCTCAAGGTCCATCCATGTTGTTGCAAATGGTGCTATTTAATCCTTTCTTATGGCTGAGTAGTATTCCATTGTGTATATGTGCCACACCTTCTTTTTCCAGCCCTCTATCGTGGGACACTTTGATTGTTTCCATGTCTCGGCCACCATGAATAGTGCTGTGATGAACATGGGGGTGCATATATCTTTGTGAATACATGATTTTGACTTTTTCAATATATACCCAAGAGTGGGATTGCTGGGTCATATGGTAGCTCTGTTCTTAATTTTTTGAGGAATTGCCAGACCCCTTTCCATAGTGGTTGTACCAATCTACATTCCCACCAGCAGCGAATGAGGGTTCCCTTTTTCCCACAACCTCTCCAACACTGTTATTGCTTGTCTTGTTGATAATGGCCACTTTAACAGGTGTAAGGTGGTATTTCATTGTAGTTTTAATTTGCATTTCCCTAATTGCCAGTGGGGTTGAGCATCTTTTCATATATCTATTGGCTGTTCCTATGTCTTCTTAAGAGAAGTGTATTTTCATGTCCTCTGCCCACTTTTTGATTGGGTTGTCTATTTGGTGTTGAGTTTTATGAGTTCTTTATATATTTTGGAAATTAAACCTTTGTCGGAGGTACTATTTGCAGTTATCAACTCCCATCTGGTTGGCTGCCTCTTTGTTTTGTCAGTTTCTCTTGCTGTGCAGAATCTTTTAGTTTGATATAGTCCCATTCATTTATTTTTTCCTTTACTTCCCTTGCCTTTGGGGTCAAGTTCATAAAATGTTCTCTATGACCCAAGTTCATAAATTTGGTACCTATAGTTTCTTCTGTGTAACTTATTGTTTTGAGTTTTACATATAGGTCTCTGATCCATTTCTAATTGATTTTTGTAAATGGGGACAAGTGTCATCCAGTTTCATTTGTTTGTATGTGGCTTTCCAGTTTTTCAAGCGCCATTTATTGAAGAGACTATCTTTACTCCATTAAGTGTTTCTGGGTCCTTTGTCAATTATCTGTCCATATACGTGTGATTTTATAGCTGGGCTCTCTATTCTACTTCATCGATCTGTGTATCTGTTTTTCTGACAATACCATGATGTTTTGATTATCATAACTCTGTAGTAAAATTTGAAGTCAGGTAGTGTGATACCTCCAACTTTGTTCTTTTTTTCTCAGGTTTACTTTGGCTATTTGGGGTCTTCTGTGGTTCCATACAAATCTGATGATTTCTTGTTCTATTTCTTTAAAAAATGGCTCTGGGATTTTGATGGGGATTGCATTAAATCTGTATATTGCTTTGGTACTATGACCATTTTAACGATGTTGATTTTCACAATCCATGAATACGGAATATTTTTCCATTTTGTTGTATCTTTTTCAATCTCTATTAATAATCCTTTGTAATTTTTAGTATATAGGTCTTTCACATTCTTTGTTAAGTTTATTTCTATGTGTTTTATTTTTTTGGTTGCAATTGCAAAAGAATTTTTTTAAAATTTCTTTTTCTGAAGTTTTGTCATTAGTATGCAGGAAGGCAATGGATTTTTGTACACTGATTTTATATCCTGCAATTTGACTGTATTTGTTTATTGTTTCTAATAGTTTTTCCTGGAATCTTTAGGGTTTTCTATATACAGAATCACCCACAAAAAGTGACAGTTTGACTTCTTCCTTCCCGATTTGAATGCCTTTATTTCTTTCTCTTGCCTTATTGCTCTGGCTAAAACTACTAGCACTATGTTGAATAAGCATGGTGAGAATAGACATCCTTGTCTTATTCCTGATCTTAGGGGAAAAGCTTTCAGTTTTCGCCATTGAGTATATTAGCTGAGGTTTTATCATATATGACCTTTATTATATTGAGGTACTTTTCTTCTATTCCTATTTTATTGAGTGTTTTAATCATAAATGGATGTTGTATCTTATCAATGTTTTTTCTGCACCTATCCTATCTAATAATAGACAAACATGGTAATTGACCATACCTTCACTATGCCTCCTATTGGCTAATCAGCACGATATGCAAATTAACCTCCAACAAAGATGGTGGCTAATTTGCATACTGCAGGCGGGGCTGGCAGCACGCGATGCTGCCCGCGGGACCCGGGCCCCGGACCCCTGACCCGGCGAGGCAGGGCCAGTAGTGCCCAACACTGCCCGGGGAATCTGGGCCTTGGATCCATGACCTGGCAAGAGAGCAAAGTGGTGGAGAAGGGAGAGAGCCCAGGTGGCAGAGAAGGGAGGGAGCCGAGGGTGAAGCGGCAAAGGGAGGGAGCGAGGCAGCAGAGAAGGGAGAGAAGCCCGCCTTGATGGGCTTCGCTCCCTTCTCTGCTTCGCTGCGGTCTCAGGAAGCCCTATTCTTGCAGGAATAGGCCTGAGGAAGCCCTATTCTGGCAGGAATCTTCCTGCTACAGGCCTCTAGTTGATAAGATAATATGATTTTTATCCTTTCTTTGATTAGTGTGTATTATGTTGATGGATGTGCAAATGTTAAACTATCTTTGTGCCCCTGTAATGAATCCCACTTGCTTGTGATATATTATTTTTTGGATGTACTGTTGTATTTGATTTGCTAGTATTTTGTTTAGGATTTTTGCATCTGTATTCAAAAGAGATATTGGTCTGTAGTTTTATTTTTTTGTGTTATCTTTGCCAGGTGTTGGTATCAGGGTTATATTGGCCTCGTAGAATGTGTTAAGAAGTATTGCCTCTTCCTCAATTTTTGGAAGAGTTTGAAAAGGATAGGTTTTAATTTTTCTTTGAATGTTTTGTATAATTCACTGGTGAAGCCATCTTGTCCTGTACTTTTGTGTTTTGGGGGGTTTTTTGATGGTTGTTTCAATTTTCTCACTGCTGATTGGTCTATTTAGATTTTCCAGTTCTTCATGATTTAGTCTAGGAAGGTCATATATTTTTAAGTGCACCCATTTCTTTTAGGTTATTGAATTTGATGGCATAAAGTCTTTCATAATATTCTAGTATGATCCTTTTTATATCTGTGATGTCTGTAGTGACTTCTCTCTCATTTCTGATTTTGTTTACATGGATCTTTTCCCTTTTTTCCTTAGTGAATCTGGCCAGGGTTTTGTCAATTTTATTAATCTTTTCAAACAACCAGCTCTTTGTTATACTGTTTTTTTGGTATAGTCTTTTTGTTCTCTATTTCATTTAATTCTGCTCTAATTTTTATTATTTTCTTTCTTCTGCTGACTTTGGGTTGCTTTTGTTCTCCTTTTTCTAGTACTTTAAGATGTAATGTTAGGTTGTTTACTTGGGATTTCTGTTGCATCTTAAGCTAAGCCTGTAATGATATAAATTTCCCTCTTATTACTTCTTTAGCTGCATCCCAGGGGTTTTGATATGTTGTGTTATCATTCTCATTTGTCTCTATATATCTCTTGATCTCATTTTTATGTATTCTTTGATCCAGTCATTTTTTAGTAGTATGTTGTTCAATCTCCACATATTTGTGGGTTTCTTTACTTCCTTTTTGCAGTGGATTTGTAATGTCAGTGCATTGTGGACAGAAAATATGCTTGGTATAATTTCAATCTTTGAATTTGTTGACGTTAGTTCTGTGACCCAACATATGGTCTATTCTTGAGATGTTCCATGTGCACTGGAGAAGAATGTGTAATCTGATGTTCTGGGATGTAATGTTCTATAAATGTCAATTTTGTCCATTTGGTCTAATGTGTCATTTAAGGCCAATATTTCTTTATAGATTTTTTGTTGGTTGATCTGTCTAGACCTGCCAATGGAGTATGAAGGTCCCCAACTATGACTGTGTTTTGATCTGTTTCTCCCTTTATTTCTGTGAGTAGTCGTTTTATATATTCCGGTGCTCCCTGGTTAAGAAGTGTTATGTATTCTTGGTGTAGTGTCCCCTTTGTCATTATAAAGTGTCCATATTTATCTCTTGTTATCCTGAGATCTATTTTGTCAGATATAAATATGGCTACACCTGCTTTTTTTGTGGATGTTATTTGCTTGGAGAATTATTTTCCATCCTTTTACTTTGAATCTATCTTTGTCTTTGCTGCTTAAATGTATCCCTTACAGGCAGCATATGGTTGGGTTTTGTTTTTTAAATCCACTCTGGTACTCTGTGTCTCTTTATTGGTGAATTCAGACCACTTACATTTAGGGTACTTATTGATGTATGAGGATTTCCTATCTCCATTTTATCTTTTGTTTTCTGGTAGCTCTATGCTTCCGTTGGTTCTTTTCCTTTATGTTTATGTCTGTTGGCCTGTTGTTTCTGTTTGGTGGTATTCCATACATCTTTCTTTTATTTTTCTCTTTTTTTAAGCAATATGTCCTGGGTTAGAGACTTTTGTGTGTGGTTGACATTAGGTTTATAAGAAATAAAGTTGCATATACTGTAGTTTTTTTCCCTTTTGAGTGCATCTTGTATGTTTTTGTTGTCACAAATTATCTATGCTTATGCTGTAAGTTTTTTTGTGTGATCTTCCTCGTAGAGTTGTGACCTTATATTCTTAGTTACAGATAGAATAACTCTCTTGAATATTTCCTGCAGTGGAGGTTTTTTAGTGATAAAATCCCTCAGCTTCTATATGTGTGGGGACATCTTTATTTCTCCTTCATATTTAAAGGATAATTTTGCTGGATGTAGTATTTATAGCTGGTAATTTGTCTTTCAGACGTTTGAATATTTGTTTCTACTGTCTTCTGGCTTGTAGAGTTTCCGCTAGGAAATCAGATGAAATTCTGATGGGGTTTCCTTTGTAGGTCACTTCCTTTTTCACCCTGGCTGCTTGGTGAATTTTTTCTTTGTCATTAATTTTTGAGAGCTTCATTATCAAGTGCCTTGGAGGGGGTGGGGTCTCTTTGGATTGAGGTAACTAGGTGTTCTGTTTTCTTCTTGGATTCAAGGATCTAGTTCTTTTCATAGAGTTGGGAAGTTCTCATCCACTATTTGTTTTATTAGACTCTCCATTCCATGCTGCCTCTCTTCCTCCTCCACATGCCTGCGATTCTGATACTACTTTTGCTGATGCAGTCAGAGAGGTCTCATAGAGCTCTTTCATTTTTCTTTATTCTCAGGTCTCTCTCTTCTTCCCGCTGCATCATTTCTTGATCCCTAGCTCTGATATCACTAGTTCTTTCCTCTGTTTGGTTCTGTTTTCTATGCTCAACAGTTTACTCTTAATCTCTTGAGTCGCATGCTTCATTTCCAGGATTTCTGAATGATTCTTTTTTAAAGTTTCATTTTCCTTGGTGAAATACTCGTTTTGTTTATTGATTTGTTTTCTGAGTGTACTGAATTTCCTGTCAGTATTTTCTTGCACCTCTTAGAGTATTTTCAGAACTGCAGTCTTGAAATCTGGACTTATGGAATTATGTCAAGTCTGCTTTCTGAGGATTTTTTTTATTTTCTTTATGTCACATAATTCCATGTGTTCAATTGTACTTTCTGGGGACTTTTTATTTTCTTTCTGGTCATCGTCATTACTGTCGTTCTTCGTTTATTTGCTGTCCTCCTTTGTTTTTGCATTTATCTCTAAAGAGGTCTTTCTACTATTCCAGTAGATGGCACTGAATTGCAAGATTTTTATCTCTGTGCTTTCCCAGATTTGAGCCTTGGAGGCTTCCATAGGACAGTATCCACAGCTGCTTGGGAGTGGGGTTTGTTTTGCCCACCCCTGACCTCCATGGGTCCTGCCCCAACCTCCCTCCTGCCACCCCCAGGGACCAGTCACAGAGGGAAACAGCAATTCTACTGCAACAGTTCTCAGGTTACAGATAATATGCTCCTGGAGCCAATTCCAAGGACAATGGGAGGTGAGTTTTGGGAGTCTGTTCACTCTGTGATCACTGTTCACTCTCACTGCTCATGGGTATGACTTGGATACTATTTTCTGGCCTCTTGAAGTTTGAAGTTCACTCTGCTGGGGTGCCCTTCTGCAGCTCTCTGTTCCTTCTGCTGAAGGAAGTGCCTGCCACCACCAGCTTTCTCCCCTGAGCTTCTGGCTGCAGGGCCGCCTCTGCGGACAGTCTATGCTTTCTTCCCTTCTAGGTTCCCCATTTATCCCCCAATGCCCAGCTTTAGATGTTATTTTGCTTGAATTATAACAACAGTGTTGCACCCTTCCAAGTGTTCATCTACACAGCAGCTGTAGTGCTGTTTTCAGAATGTAAATAAATATGCCTTACCTGCAAGCCCCTAAGAGGTATTGAAAAGACTTTTCAGAGCAGTGAGAGAGAGGTGGACATCAGCTAGAGGAGAAAGCAGGAGGAAGTGAATATGTATTCTTTTACATTTAAATGAGAGGAAAGACTTTATGGACTCACAGAGACAGTGAAGGGGCAGAGATCCAAAAGAGGAAGGACATTAAAGGTTGTACTCAGGTCAAGCAATGGGGTGTAGGGCACAGCTTGAGTTAGCTCTGAAAAGATAAAGAAAGGAAACCATTTGAAGACAGGAGAGAAAGAGATGGAAACGGAGGAAGGAATAGATACATGAAAAGTTAAAAGGAGGGACATTGAGGTGATGGTTTTTCTTATGTCCAGGTCAAATGTTGAGAGTGGGGATGGAAAGATGGATGCTGCGGTGGGATATAAACATGTGGAGAAAATGCTAAATTTTTTAAATCGACACTTAGCCTATCCAAGTTAAATCTCACTGTTTCTTTTGCAATGTAATAGAATTAAGAAAATGGGCTAAAGGGGCACAGGATTTTTGGTTTCTAAGATGTACTTCAGTTAGCTAATTTTGAAAAGGCATTTCTATCTGAAACTGTGAATTTTTTTCATTAATGCCTTTCAAGTATTTTGATTAAATAGTTTAAATGGGTGATTTTTGATGTGAGTTTATTTTCTGGTGTCAGGGGAACTCTATTAACAGCACAGCAGGACAAAACAAAGGCTGAGTAAAACCACATCAGATATTATCATTGGAAATTTTCTACTACCTAAAAGCTGCCCAGTATTCCTTTCAGGAAAATTATAGGAAATTGGTCATAAACTAGTCTACAAGTTTAAATATAATTTAAGACTACAAGAAAATAATCTTTAGAATTTAGAAAGTGTAGTTCCAAAAGTCCTCATGGATAGCCTGCTTACGCACTGGCTCTAAGATCAGCACCTCGTGGGATATGCTGCGATCAGATAGGCAACGGTCTTCTCTCTGTGTACGGACAAGATCTGTACGTGAGTAGGGCTATGTGCTCAGGATTCCTTTTAACGTTTAAGGTTGTCATGTTAAGTAAACAGCAGAAAGAAACGTTCTCAGCCCCTCTCTCTTTACCCTGTAGGAAGCTGTGAAGCTGTTTAAAAAGGCGTTGGATATCTGTTCTCATTCTGAGAGAGGACCACATGCCTTAGAGGCAACAGTGGACTGTCTGTATAACTTGGGTCTTTGTTACATGGATGAAGGCAACTTCCAAATGGTATTTTGTATATTTAGCAACTTAGGTTACTTGTGATTTTAAAAAATGCTTGCATTTAGTTCTATTTCAGAAGGTTACTTCTGTAGGAAGTGACCAATACAGAGTAGACCAATGCTTCTTATAAGGTGTGGCTTGTTACAGACAATATGTATCCTACAATACTACTGCATTGTTTTAGTTACCCAACATGTTTTATTTGATGCTTATTTGTCAATAGTATTGTAAAGACTAATGTATGTTTTTCACCAAAACAACCTAACTGTAAGAAATTATTATAGCAAAATGATTTCATTACATTAATATAAATTTACTTATTAAATTTAAGAACTTTAAATTGAGTGATTCATTCTAATGTAGACTAAGTGGAAATGATTAGCACACTGATTTCTCTTAATGATGACTAAAAATTCAAAGATTGAAACTGGTTATTTAAATAGCCAGATTATCCTTGAGAACCAGTTGAGTCAGTATTTACATACTTATTCAATATTTGGCTATTTTACAGAAGCCTCCATTTCAAAATTGTCCAATATGTAATATTATTGTTATTTTCTAAAGGCTAATGTTGACTATTTCACAACTGTATCTTTATATACACACCCCATTCCTATCCTGTTATTCAGAGGAGTGGACAGTGTCTAAAACTTGCATCTCAAACCTTGAAACAGAGTTGCACTTGATTAGTTGTTCTTAAGAAATTCTAATAAGTATAAGATTGATTACAAATCTTTTCCATGTTTTTAACCCTTTTGTTCAACCAGCATTAAAACTAACTTTGCTCTACAATGTTGGGGAAAATTGGGGGGTTCTATCATTCTGAAATTTCATAGCTATGCATCTGCTATGAAATGTTTGGGCCCCTTGGAAGACAAATGTGCTGGTTGTGACTTCTTTGAAGGAACACAGTATGAAGAATAATGATTAAAATTACATGCAAAATTACTGAAATCTAACAACTTGGACTCTACAGACATTAATCTGGGAATAAGGGGCTAGTAAGTTCTAATACTAAACCTGACTTGCTAATAAATATTACTTTTGTTTGCTCCACAAGTTTCACTGGGGAAAATGTACTTAAAATGACCAGAAAAGATGGAAAACTTTCAACAGCAGCTATATACTGTAATTATTAGCATTATAAATTAATAAATTCTGCCCATTAAACCATTTGCTTTGTAACAATATACTCTTCTAGGCTTTTGAGTCTTTTACCAAAGCTGTGAAAATAAATCCCAATTTTGCAGAAGGCTTCCATCAACGAGGGCTTTGTAAAGTAAAACTCAACAAGGATAGCTCAATCCTGGATTTTAATCGTGCAATTACCCTCAATCCAAAACATTATGAGGTATTTAAATGAACACTTCTGGTGATTTAGAGATTATGTTATAGATTTGCTAAAACTATTAAATCCTTCATATGTCATTGTTATTAGTTAGCAACAATTGAGTACTTATACCTACTTTTCATATAATTGTTTTAATAATGCATCTATCTGTGTTTCTCTTTGAACTGAAAATATTACCTCCAACAGGAATATTATATATGTCTTATAAATTGTGATGTATATAAATATTGTTAATATTTTAATGTATCTATTTATATTTTTATATACTATGTTATTAATTTTATTTACTTCTTGTTTTGCTGTCACATTTATTTCTTACTTTTAAGAGACTAAAGAGATAGCACAAATTCAATAGGTGAAGTTTTATTGAATCCTGATTTTAAAAGTCTATAAATTTTAAATATGGATCAAATATTAGATGTTTTTAGGGAAATACTATGTTCTTAGATATATTATGGTAGTGTGATTGTACAAAAAGAATGTCTTCTTCATAGGCGATTCATACTAGAGACCTGGGTGAATTGTTATAATGTCTACAACATATTTTTTTACAGTTCAGGGAAAAGTAGGTACAATAAATATTGCAAATATATTAATAATTATCTAATCTAGGTGGCAGATATATGGATGTTGATTGTACTATTTCAATTATTCTGTATGTTTGGAAAAAATACTACATTTTATAACATCTTTGGGTGGCATAGATTTGTCCAAACTATCATATCTTTTGGTATAATTAATGCTTTGATTATAACACACATTCCTGTTTTCCTCTTCTCTTTCTCTGAAAAGGCATATTTAAACCGAGTGGCCTTCTATGGTTTGAAAGGCAGGTACTCCAAAGCAATCTTGAATTGTAACGAGGCCATCAGCATTTACCCTCAGAGTGTGCGGGCTTACATCTACAGAGGCGTTCTAAAATACCACAACAGGGTTGGTGATTTCCTGTCTCGTTTACAGAAAATTTAGAGTGAGGGATGCTTGGATGCCAGTAGGGACACACTTCCTTCTTTAGTCTGTGAGAGAAGAATCGCCATAGTGTTAAGGGCAGAGCTGCATGGAACACCTTACACTTTCAGGGTACATCAAAAGGCTTACAAAATATTGGGTTTGGTTTTTTTTTTGGACATTTACATTTTAAGTGGCACATTATTTAGAAAGCCATATATTATTCATTGTAAAGAATTTGGAAAATACAAAGAGGGAATAAAGAAGACTAAAATCACCTATTATCTCACCATCAACTGAAAATTTCTGAGAGCATTTGTTGTATTTGCCTTGTCTTTGTTTTTATATTTAACAATATATATTTATATATATTTTCTAAATCAGTACATTCAGTTTTAACTTGTTTTTTCTTCACAAACAGAAGAACTCTTACAATAGTAGACTTTCTAAAATAAATACTATTAAAATAGAGCTTCAAAATAAATATTCTATACAAAGGGGACCTTCCGTGGTAACTTTGTTGTGGGGTGAGAAGAGGCTACAGTGAGGGGGGCGGAGTAAGTCAGAAGTGCGGTGGGATGGGAACCTCGGACAGCTTTCCTGTTTGTAACAGGAAACCAAACTGCAGCAGTTGCATTGTCTTTTTGTTGTTTTTTTTTGTTTTTCTAATAATATATGGTATATATTTTCCAAAGTGGGATTATGGTACTTATTTAATTTGTGTTGTGCCCTTCTTCTCACACTTAACCTTTAAAGATACCATTTTTAATGACTGAATAATATTCTATCATAGTTTATTTTTTACCACTTGATTGTTGGAAATTTGAGTTTTTAATTTTTTCACTATTTTACACAATACAGTTACTAGTATACACACTGAGAACACAGTCATTGCTTGAATATATAGTTGATTCCTAAAGAGAAGTTAGTAGTAGATCAAAAGGTGTGAGTAGCATCACTGATATCTGATACTTCATGGAATACTTTATTTTTCCTACTTTTCTGTTCTGAAGCTTTTTTGTAGCTATTTCATATGAAATATTTTGCAAATAATACCTTAAAGCAGTGGTTCTCAACCTTCTGGCCCTTTAAATACGGTTCCTCATGTTGTGACCCAACCATAAAATTATTTTTGCTGCTACTTCATAACGGTAATGTTGCTACTGTTATGAATTGTAATGTAAATATCTGATATGCAGGATGGTCTTAGGCGATCCCTGTGAAAGGGTCATTCGGCCTCCAAAGGGGTCGCGACCCACAGGTTGTGAACCGCGGCTAAAGCAAAGCTAAGACCTTGTATTTTGTATTAATCCATGAAAATTACTGTCTATAGAAATGGATGACACAAGGTATCAGAGAAGCATCAAAGAGGAAGCAAAAGAGACTGTAGGTAGAAAACATGACGGTTATGGGATCTGACAGTATGAATGACAGACGCAAGCAAGCTCTGGTGAATGTTTGCTGGAGGAATATGGCTTGCTTCTCTTTTACCAATAAGAAGTGTAATTTTCTCAACATTGGCAATAAGATAGTCATCTAAATTAAAATTCTTTATATATTTAATTTTATTTTCAAGTAACAGAAACTATAATAATAATTCCTACCAAGAGATTTTCTTAATTAACTTGGTGAAAGATGAGCTTGATTGTCTTAATATCACAGATGCTGCACAGAGTGTTCCAAAAACTCTGATAGAATCAATAATTTCTTTTACAATTAAATGTCAGTCCATTATGACTAACCCTTCTCACCTAATTATTTTTTCCTTTGCAGACTTATAAGCTAGCGATTGCAGATTTAACTACCGCTATCAACATGGACAAAAACAGTTATGTAGCATTTTATAACAGAGCATTGTGTTACACCAAGATAGGTGAACTTCAGATGGTAAGATGACCATTTTAGTCAACAAAATGTTAAAGCATTTGTAAACATATGTAAAGCATGTATAAAATACTTTTTGTTACCTCTGTTGTAATTTTGAAAAATAATTCTTGTGGAAATATGCACCCCCCCCATACACACACACACAACTTGAGAACCCAAAGAACCATTTCAAAGGACATTATTATTTTTATTAGTGATCACAAAATTGTCTTATACAATCTCAACAATGTCACATGAAAAATTGATTTTATAATGCTTATATAAGCATTTAAAGACATATATAAATTAAAATGCATTACATAATTCTCATTAGGGTAAATGTTTCTACTTATACACCATTTGCAGTACTTTTTTTAAAATTAAATCTTTATTGTTCAGATTATTACAGTTGTTCTTCTCCCCCCCCCCCCCCATAGCTCCCCTCCACCCAGTTCCCACCCCACCCTCCACCCTTACCCCCGCCCCCATTGTCCTCATCCATAGGTGCAAGATTTTTGTCTAGTCTCTTCCTGCACCCCCCACACCCCTTCCCCCCCCAAGAATAGTCAGTCCACTCCCATTCTATGCCCCTGATTCTATTATATTCACTAGTTTATTCTATTCATCAGATCATTTATTCACTTGATTTTTAGATTCACTTGTTGATAGATGTGTATTTGTTGTTCATGATTTGTATCTTTACCTTTTTCTTCTTCTTCCTCTTCTTAAAGGATACCTTTCAGCATTTCATATAATACTGGTTTGGTGGTGATGAACTCCTTTAGCTTTTCCTTATCTGTGAAGCTCTTTATCTGACCTTCAATTCTGAATGATAGCTTTGCTGGGTAAAGTAATCTTGGTTGTAGGTTCTTGGCATTCATCACTTTGAATGTTTCTTGCCACTCCCTTCTGGCCTGCATAGTTTCTGTGGAGAAATCAGCTGACAGTCGTATGGGTATTCCCTTGTAGGTAACTGAGTTTCTTTCTCTTGCTGCTTTAAGATTCTCTCTTTGTCTTTTGCTCTTAGCATTTTAATTATGATGTGTCTTGGTGTGCTCCTGTTTGGATTCTTTTTGTTTGGGGTTCTCTGCGCTTCCTGGACTTGTAAGTCTATTTCTTTCACCAGGTGGGGGAAGTTTTCTGTCATTATTTCTTCAAATAGGTTTTCAATATCTTGGTCTCTCTCTTCTTCTGGCACCCCTATAATTCGGATGTTGGTACGCCTGAAGCTGTCCCAGAGGCTCCTTACACTATCTTCGTATTTTTGGATTCTTTTTTCATTTTGCTTTTCCGGTTGGGTGTTTTTTGCTTCTTCGTATTTCAAATCTTGACTTGATTCTTGTGATCCTCTAGTCTGCTGTTGGAACTCAGTGTATGCTTAATTTCTAGTTGGTCCTTTTCAAGGGTCTCACTAAATTTCTTGAGGGTCTCACTACATTTATCGGCAGTCTCACCAGACTTTTTGAGGGTCTTACTAAATTTATCAGCGGTTTCTAGAAAATTCTTGAAAAACCTTAAAAGTGTGGTTTTGAACTCGATATCCAGTTGTTTGCTTTCCTCAATTTCTGTCATTTGTGACCTGTTTCTTTGTCTCTGAATTTTTTATGCTTCCCTGTGTTGGTAGAGTGGCTTTGTGTGCTAGGTGTCCTATAGGGCCCAGTGGCTCAGCCTCCCCAATTACCTGAAGTGGACTCTCTTGGTGCACCTCTTTGTGGGCTTGGTGCACAGTCTTGTAGTTAAGCCTTGATTGTTGTAGGTATCACTGGGAGGAATTGACCTCCAGGCCAATTGGCTGTGAGAATCAGCTGTGTCTACTGTAGGAGAACTTCTGTGCTGGAGACACCCCTCCGGGGCAAGACTTGCTTCAGTGGGGCTTTGGTGCTCACTGATTCTGCCCCCTGAGTGTGTCCCTTATGGATCTGAGGAGTTGTAATCTGGATGGTTCCACTCTGACCACTGGGTAAACTAGCTCTTGGATCTAAGGAGGTGCTAATTTAGCCTCTGCCTGAGGCTACCCAGCAGGTGCTATGAAGAAATCTGCAGATTCCCCTTCTTTGTTTGGGGTTTGGAGGTGCCCAAATGAGGCCCAGCTGTGAAGCAATGCAAGCTGCTGTGGGGCCTTGGGCCTTCTCTTGGACATTCTGGTCTGTCTGGCCCAGCTGCAGTTTGTTAGGTAATTTTCAGGTTGCAAAGGGCCAGGGTATTCATATGCAAAAGCCTCTGCTGCAGCTTGGGTGGGGCAGGGTCTCAGGGAGTCAACAGGGCAGAGCAAGCAGCTATGGCTGATCCTCAGCCCTGCCTAAGAGGCCCCGCATCTCAGTGTCCTGGTAATCGCTGCAAGCATCTCTGAGAGAAAGCCGCCCTCGAGTTCCGAGTTCTGCCCGCTGCCGGACAGTCCAGTTTCTCCCCGTATGAGTCTAGGTCCTCAGAGACTCACCGGGAACTGGAGTTCAGAGCAGTCAGGGGCTTGTGACTCCCTCCCGATTGAAAAAGACAGCCGCGTCCTCAGCTGCCAGCCCTTTCCGTGCTCAGACCTTGGTACCTCTGCACTTTACTTCTGCACCTCCTCAATGTGCTTTTCTCTTTCCTTCTAGTTGTAGAATTTCTACTCAGCCAGCCATCCTGTGGTTCTGGATGATGTCCATTTTGTCTTTTAGTTGTATTTTTGAATTTGTTGTGGGAGGCAGCAATTTCTGTTGTTTACCTATTCCGCCATCTTGGTTTCTCCCATTTGCAGTATTTTTAAGCAGTGATTGTTAGCAATATTGTTGCTTCAGAATTTGCTGTTATTTTTTGCACAGTGTTCAGACTGTTACAGAAGATGAAATAAATACCAAGCACACTTCCTAGAGAAAGGGAGGGACCCCGTTTATTAACACTAGTGGACTCTGGGAATAATTTCCAAATCATAGTGAAGAAACATGCAGAGAGCCTGTCTATATATATCCCACTGGGGTCTTTGTCTTGCAGATATGCCCCCTGCCCCCTTCATGGCCCTGTAGGGGTGGCCCCCAGGTGTCAGGCCATATCTATGGTCCGTCCTGGCACCAGCATAACAACCCCCCCCCCCAAACCCCCACCCCCAGGGCAGTGCATTGTTCACAGTTCCATGGCCTCTGCATTTAGATAGCAAGTTCTGCAAGACCAGTTTCCTCCTCAAGACCACAGATGCAGCAGTTTTGAGTGATTTCCAGTGATGGGAGCAGTGACCAGTGACAAGTACTGGTTGTGCTGTTTGCAGGCCTAGCTGATGGCTGCAGCAATCCTTTTTCTCTATTTGTCCTGTATAGCTACCTGTGCAAGCCATTTTTTAGAGTTTCTATCTTTCTCCTTTCTTTGTCTGCTTGGTCTTTTTCCAGTCAAGATTCCTCACTGGGGAGCAGCTGGTCTGTGGTCTTCCTAGAGCGATGTCCCCTCCTCTTGTTTCTCTTTCCCTGTTGTCCTCTTGTCTCCCCTCTTTATTTCTATCCAGGTCCACAGTCAGTGAGGCATTCCTTTAGCAGACCACGTCACACGCCTGCTGTTGAACATGCTCCCCAGTCTCCTGGAATCGTGGGCAGTCAAATCTGTTTAAAACATTTAGAGATTTTGAAATTTATTTGCTATGGAAGGGATGTTGAGAAACATTGTTACTCAAAGGATGTAGAATTCCTGGTAACCAGAGGATTGGGTTTCCTCCAGAACCACTGGCAAATGAATAACTTTTAACAAAGGAGCTGTTAAGAGCCTAGGACTAGTTAAGGGCTCATTTATCAGAGTAACCTGCAGAGCAGGTGTCTTTGATGACTCCTCCCCACCCCCTGCCTCTTCTGGGTAACTCTGAAGCCACAGACAATGGGACGGGCGGGGGCCGGGAACTCCCATTTTTGTTGTCTCCTATAAGTAACAGAGCCCCACACTCTGAACAAGGAAAATGAAAAACTACCGAAATAGGGACCTAACTACTAGAATAAATCGTATTGGCTATTTTGGAGCTGCCATGTACCCAACCCATTTCATCCAAACACTCCTTGTACAGACGAGGAAATGGAAGTTGGGAGTGGTTAGAAACACGTCCAAGTCACACAGGGAGTAAAGCCCTGTGCAGCTGTTCACAGGTTTGGTAACAGTCTGTAGGTGGCTCTGTAAAAACATTTGACCTTCAGCGCGTGGAGCGGATGTCATGTAACAGTGTGGCCACCTCCCTTTTTGTCTACCTCCTCCCTTCATGTCTACCTCCACCCATTTCTCAGCATCACTGCCAACACTACATTGAGAAAACCCAAGTACTTTCTGCAGAAAATGCACTTAGACATTCTCCCAAGATACGGTTTCATAAAAATTAAGAACAGGTGAATTCTGGTTCCTATCACCTTAATAAAAGTAGTAACAGTTACCACTTACTTAGAGCTAATGGTGTGGGAGGCACTGGGCTAAACGTTTTAGCAATATATCATCAAAATTACTTTGTGCAACAATATGATGAATTATTAATATCCCAGTTTTGCAGATGAGAAAACTGAAGCTAGTGTTAAGTAACTTACCCAAGGCTAAAAAGCTAGCAATAATAGCAGAGGTGTGTTACAAATCCTCCTCCTTAACCTTCATGAAACTAATTTTATATCTTTTGTTTCCTCTTGTGTCACATATTCAGCTGTCTAGTGGATCTTGTGGTATCTTAAAGGTTTTACGTTCTGTGATTTTATGAAAGCAAAAGTGCTAACATTTTAGTTTTGTTTTGATAAGTATTATGAATTATTTTTACAGCCCTGGCGATGTTTGTTATTAATTATGCCACAATGTACATAACTGTACAATTCTTTTAGACACTTGAGTGCCTAATCATGAAATACTAGAGCACCACTGAGCAAACAGCAAAATACTATGTATTTGCATTTTAAGTTAGCACGTCCTATAAGCATGTAAGATCTGGCCCTTTTCTGATGAAATTATATGGCTCTTCTGGACAAAATGTTCAGTAGAAAAATGAGGTAAGAGATTCAGCTCCAACTCAAATTTGGGATGGTCCTGTTACCTGGTACAGAACGATGACCAGTAAAAAATTGTTTATTCAATGAATGAACTAGAAAGCTAAAAGTAATAAAGATTCTCTGAGTTAATTCTAAACTTAATGTCTTTTTAAAAAACCCTAATATATCTATCATAATATTTTGAAGTAATTTTCTAACAGGCTTCTTTGTTATATTAAGACCCATTTTCATTGATTCATAATTTATTCTCTCAAGAAACATTGATTGATTGCCTACTCTGTGCAGGCACAGTGCTAGTTGCTGACTCAGTAATGGTGGAACATAAGGATAAGCTCTGCCCCCATAAAGCTTAGGTTTCCTTGAGAAAAACAATCAAATACTAAAAAGAACGTACATTTCCACCAATAACAAGTGCTCTGCGTTAATGTGGGCGGTCCTGGGGGAACTGCCTGGGGGTGTGTGGTGTGCCTCTTCCATCTACACACAGTGGAAGTGCTAAGGATGCTTCACAAGAACACGTGAAGTGCAGCCACAGTCCCCCACATATTGAAATGCAGCAGCAGTCAAGTATTTAGTTAAGGGGACCCTTTACATTCAACGAATGATTATTTAGGGCCCTGAATTGTAAGTCAAATTAAATACTAACTGTGGGTTCCTACTTTGGGCATTAACACATTTTTCCTTGGACAATGTAGCAAGGCTCTAAAGAGCGGAATCTAGGTTGTAAGTGATTCTTTTATTTTTAGGCATTAATGGATTATGGAATCGTGCTTCTTCTTGATGCTGGAAAAACTGTGGCATTCAATACCTTAGTTAATCGTGGACTCATCTATCTAGGACAAGGGCATCACTGTTTCGCATTAGAGGTAAACCTGAACCCACGTGATTTTTCATGCTCACTTCTGAAAATAGTGAACAAGTTTTTTTTACTACCAAATGGCAATATTAATGAGCAATAACTAAACTTTAGCAATAATCATATTGAAATACTTTGACTGACTAATAGAATTTTTGTAAAATACGTGTACTTTTACTTTGTTTTGATTACAGGCAAATAGCCAATATGTTTTAAAAAAAGTTTCTAATTTGATGAAAGTTCAAGGCTATCACTTCCTATCTTGACTATATACAAAATTCAATTATTTAGCAAATAAAATGATTTATGTATTATTTACTTTGCTGTTTGATGCTCTCATTTATAATTTTCCTCATTCTCCACTGAAAATATATCAAACTAAATCCATTTGTTTTGTATAGAGTAGAAAATACCTGCTCAAAATAAGCTGCTGAGAATAATGGGAACAGGCACACAGGATTGTAGTAGAAGACAGCATCTCCATTATATCACAAAGAAACGTGGTTTCTTCGGTTAAAAAATGCATTTCTTTGTAGAACAATTAAACAAAACTTACCATTCTCATTTTTATCTTATTTGTATTGTTTTTTTTAAATTAACTTTGGAGTTAAGATTAAGCGATACAAGACAAATAAAAGTTTGCAGCTGAATATGGTAGTTTTGCTTCTTTGTTTCTGAGGAACCACAATAGAACATTATGTAATGGAATGTTTCCTGATTCTTTTCATCTCCAAAAGTGACTTGTATTATTTTTCTACCTTTGGAGTCAGATTTTGAGGTTCTGCCCCGCAGAATTACTTATTATTTTTGCAGATGGATCATGAGAATGCTCGCTTCATATTACACAGTGTTTTACAAAGTATCATACTTTAAAAAGATATTGGCTTGTAAAAACATGTAATAAATAACTTCAAAATGCAATGGGTATTTAATTTTAAAATGTGCCTTTAACATTTATGTAAAACTTTTTTGTACTCATTCAATAGAAACTTACCTGGCTACTGGTCCGCAATGTGTTAAGGAAGTGTCTGAGAAACCAGATTCTAGGCAATTTACACTACGATGAAATGTAATTCCAAGAGTTGAACTCCTTTAGGTTTAGGTAATACCATTTGGAATTTCCTCAGAGAGGGAGCTAAGGAATTTCTTTGTTTGGAGTAGGCAAGAAAGCTACGAAACTCTAGGGAACAGTGTTGGGAGTAGAGAAGTGAGGAAAATGGGGGTTGGGAGCCAAAGACCTCAGCTGTTGGATAATTAAATGCAGGGCCTGTGTTATCTATAAGGCACATATTTATTTGGTATTTAACATCAACATACCAGGTTCTCAACAGTGCTATACAATTTATAATTGTAACTTATAGATGAGGAAACTGATATTCAAATGAGGTTAAATAGTCTTTTATCCAGGAAGTGCTAGGGCATGATTTGATCTCAGGTCTCCCCTGATTCCAAATCCTATGTATTGAAGACGTGAAGATAAATAAGGCAGATTTCCTGCCCTTGAGGAGCTCGTGGTCTATCCAAAATCATTCTTGACCCCTCTCTTTCCTCAGACTCTATATCCAACAGTTCAGTAGACTCTTCCATCAAAGCATATTTTGATTCAGTCATTTCTCATTTTTTGTCACTGTTATCTTCCTAATTCCACCCTCACGCATCTTTCCCCTGGACTACATCAGGAGCTTCCCAACTGGCCTCTCTGCCTCTGCTCTTGTCCCTGTCTCTACATGCTGTTCTTCAAACAGTAGCAGACAGACCTCTTAAAAACATACTGGTAAAGCAGACCACGTTATGCCTCTGCTCAGAACCCTCCAGTGGCTTCCCATCACACTTAGAATAAAATTTGCACTGTTGCCTGTGGCCAACGAAGACCCGTCATGATCGATCACTCACTGATCGGACTTCATTGTCAAACATTGTTCTTTTCTGCACTCAGGCTCCTCCACTTTGGCATTTTGCTCTTCCTTGGAAGTGCCAGGCTTCCTTCCGGCCCCAGGGTCCTCACAAAAGCTCTTCTCTGTACATAGAACGCTCTCCCTACTAATCTGTGTGTGACTCATGCCCGTCTTTTAGTTCAGGTTTTTGCTCCTGGTCAAACAAACAAACAAAACAAAAGTGTAGATTAATTAAAATAGAATATTAGAAAATTAAAGTAAGTCTGGACAGGGAAAACAAACAGGAAACAGAGGAAAACAGAAGAAAACAAATAATAAGATGGTAGACCTAAATCCAACCATATTAGGAGTGACATTTAGTAGGATGGTAAAAAATAGACCAATTTAGGTAATAAAAATATCAGATCAGAACTTTTTTTAAAAGTCTCTGGTTACAAAAGTCACACTTTAAATATATTGGTATAGATAGGAAAAGTAAAAGGTTGGAAAAAATATGCCCTGCAAACACAAATTAAAAGCAAGAAAGAAAAAAGTCTCCTTTTGTAAATAAAAAATTATTCGAAAAATTAAATTAGAAAAATGAGAAAGAACCAATGAATAAGTATAAGACTGAATAATGGAAGGGCTAGATGAAGAAACGGGAGACAGCAGTCTTAACACTTGCCCAGGGACATTTTTTAAGTGAGAATGATTAACGGAGAGGTCAGGTGGGATGAGTGCTGACAACATACTAGGTAACTGATCCTTGTATGGCCTTCCTAGGAGCCCTTGGTCAGGAAGTAGAGTGCAGCATTTGGACTGGCATTGTTTAGGAAGTTAATTGTTAAGTGGGTTGGATTGAGAACATGTGTTTATCTCTGTCCTCTTGAAAACCTACTAGGAAGATAGTAAAGGAATAAAAAAGATATAATTCCACAAGGTTGAAGATAGTAGAAAAGAGATCTTCAGGCATCTAAAACTACCATTCTGTATTCTAATGCCTCTAACTTAAATATGAATGGGCAGCCAAGGATCCTACACTTAAGAGGTAAAATAGAGACTCTTTTTTTAGGGATGGTGGGAGAAAAGGAGATGTGCGGAGTGCTGGGGTAAGATAGCTAAATTCTATCCTATTTTGGAAGTTAAACATGACAATTCTCATGCTATTTTGAAATTTGAAGGTAAATAGCAGCAAGATGTAAAAACAATTGTGTTTGGGGAGTGGGCTTCAGGGGCAAGGAGAGGTGGAGCAGGGGATTGCTGCAAGCACCGTCAGTTTTCTAGTTGGATTAGACACCATACACTTGGTACATGGGCTACTTTGATAAGAATAAAAACAAATAAATAAAAAATGTCTTTCGATGCAATTTACAAATGACAAAATAAAATTGGCCTTCATTAAATGACACAATTACTAGGAAGTTGATGGAATTGGGGGGTGTGGAGACCATGAGTGTTAGCTATGCTTTCAAGGAGATTGGTGGTGACAGAAACTAGAAACACTGGGCCATGTGTAGTTTGTAGCAGGGAAGGTTGAGTGGAAGGCATGTTAGGTCAGGGCATGAAACAAGAATTAAAAATACAGAAGACAGGAATATGATGGAGCAAGTTTCCAGAGGAGAACGGAAGGAACAAGGTCAAAAGTCTGTCTTCTGACACAAAGACAGTGGGCGTGAAGGTCCTTACAAATAAGGAATTTGCTTTGTGTATGAGTGGCTATGTGTGGTTTGTTATTTATGATCTTCATATTAAAAAAAAATTAATGCAGAAGGAAAAAATCGTAACAATTAGTTAGCTTTATTCTAAGTAATGAGAATAGTCATCACATGTTTATTGCTGATAATTATACATATAGAGTCAGGTTGACTTTTGTAAGTTGTATCTGATTACAAAACTGAACTTGGCATTCTCAGTCTTTTAAGTTCTCGATCACTCCTCACAACTTCCAAAATAAATAAATAGGAACGTTTGTAATAAATCCCAATTTCACTAAGTTTGCTTCCACTTTAAAACAGTCCTCTTAGTCTGGCCAGGCTGGCTCAGTTGGTTGAGCATCTTCCTGTGCACCGAAAGGTTGCTGGTTCCATTTCTGGCCAGGGCACCTGCCTGGGTTGTAGGTTCGATCCCTGGTTGGGGCATGTTCCAAAAGGAACTTCTCTCTCTCTCTCTCTCTCTCTCTCTCCCTCTCTCTCTCTCCCTCTCTCTAAGCATGCCCTCAGGTGAGGATAAAATCAGTAAATAAAACAGTATTCGGGGGATTTATCTGGTAGCATATTTGATTATATTACATTTGATTAGACAATAGATTTATTTTCTTCCAATAATAGTTCCTTTTCTTATCAAAATATACTTAAGGAATCTAAGTGTGATTCCATATCTACAGATTGGTCTCTGACTGAAACCTTCCTCCTCCAATAGGATTCCAGGGACCCTGCTTGACCCTGCTACTCCCTCTGTCTTCCCAATATTTGCAGAAAAGTTAGCCAGCTTCCTCCCTCTGCTACAGCCAGGGAAGGTTTGTGGAAGGGGGAGGAGGAAGAGGGAAATGAGGAGGGAGAGGGACAGGGAGGCTGTCTGTTATGGTTAGCTTTTCTCCTTCCTCCAGGGTGGACACCAGAACTCAGACACCGGCCCTCTGAGGCTGGAGAGTGGGCGCCAGCCTCCAGGAGGGGGTTGGGGGAGGGGGGTCTCTTAGACAGTCCAGAGGAGGTGACAGCACTCTCCTGTTCTAGCTTGGCCACCTGAGGTTACAACCAAAACTGCCAGTGAAGGTGCCTGCGAAAGCAGTCCTTTGGGAAAAGCAGAATCATTGCAGTTTACATGATATTTTATATGTAGATATTCATCTAAATATTGTATTAGTTTCAATTTAGTGCTGTTCTTATTTTGCCTCTGTCCTCGAATATTTTTGTAGGTCTTTGAAAAGCGGATGCTCTTTGGACACTGTCTCTGGAGCCTAATGGAGGACAGTGTTCAGGGGCGCAGGGGCAGGCTCTCTCGCAGACTTTTAATTCTCTTAAAACAACCTCTTTCCCAGGGCCATTCCAGCTAACTTCCGAACTCAAAATCTTGGGGTTTTCCATTGCTCCTTCTCAGGAGGCTTCTAGAATTCTCCCAGACGTGTGAATTCCAAAGGTAGGAGCAGCCTTAGCTAATCCACACAAAAGGCCCAATGCATGTCCTTTTCTGGGCCTGGGTGTGTGTTTGCCCTGTAAAGTCCAAGTTTCTCTATAGGAGAATTTCCATTTCTATCTAGATGGGCAAGTCTCTGGTGGTGTAAACTGAGGGGAAAAAATACAATAAAAAGAAAGTAAATGAGGTCTCATTAAACACATCAGGGCAAAACCACTGGGAAAGTGCAGACCAGTGCACAATATGCTGAGTGAGGTTTCAGTTATGGGTTTCCTCTGCTCCATTCGTCCTCACTAGATGTGATACTAAAAGGAAAAAAAAGTTTTAAGATGTCTTTGTTAATGCTGTGTTAAGTATATTCATGGTAGAACACAGCTAGAATAAAGTTTAAGAAAGCGCAAAGGATAATGTTGCAAAACTAACAAAAATGTATGAAACTGTTTTAGGATTTTAAACAAGCTGCATTGCTGAGCGAGACTAATGTGAACCTTTGTCAAGCTACCGCCTTGTGCTATCACAGGTACGTAATTTAGGTTGCAGTGAAAGCAAGTGGGACCATCTAATGATTATAATAGAAGAATAGGAAGAGGAAAATGTGGAAGTGACAGGGACAAAAATGGGGAGAGACAAAGAATCCCTGCTGGCGAGCACACCTAGGTGTGTCATCAGCACCCTCCTACCTTCTAATAAGGTGTTTTAGCCAAGACTGCAAGCAAATACCTGCATCCTGGCATTGGATACCCACTGATTCAAGCCCATTTACTGGGGAAAAAGACCTGAGTGATACACAGAATAAAATCACGCACAGCTTGAAACATCTAAGAATAAAATTAAGTGATCATTTTTGTTCCTAAAATGAAACTAAACTTTAAAAAGCCTGTTTCCTACAAGAGAGGGTGATTTCAAAAATTAAATATTTTCAAAAAATTTTGCATTTAGAAAACATATTTCTAAATCTATAACTAATTAAAATAATACCCGTAAACATCTACAAAACACAATAAAGTCTACAAAAATATATTACTTAAGACATTATTACCTGCTTCTGAGATTACTGTAAGAGTAAGTCAAGTTATAGTAGGGGAGAAGAAAACAGTTACATAGGCTAAAATACAGAACATCACTTTATAATTTGTTCTGAGATAATATTACATAGATTTTTACTAATTATAAGTTTTACATTTCTACATATACATTTAACATCTAAAATTAGTTTCTGGTCATTTTGTGTTTAAAAGTATAGAGATTCTGCATGTGGAGATTTTAATGTGAGATAAAATATATTTGGTTAAGTAGTAGTTTACAGTATTATTTTTTAAGACAGAAATAATAGCAATTAATTGGAGGGGAAATTAGGATAGTTCATAAACTATACAGACTAGGCTGTATAAAAATCCAATTTTGAATTATTTAGGAAATAAATGTTTCTTTTTTTCCTTTTTAGAACACAGCACAGCTACATTTCCCTATGAAAGTTAGATTTTTTATTTTATGAACATAATACTGTAATAACTGAAACTTGTGAAGATGTCTTTGGGTTTAAAGGCCTAATTTTGGACCTTTATTTTATATAAACAGCAAAACATAGTCACACCATTTTCTATTTTACTCTAGCAACCTTTGTACAATCCATCTCTTTAAGTAATTGCTATTCTTGAAAAGAGATGGAATAATGATGACTGATGTGTTTGTTTTGGTGGGTGAGTATAGACCAAAAATGTCTGAGGTCATTGCATTCTCTTAAATTAAAAACAGACTCCAAAATTTCTCCCAAACTCATTCCTGTGTTTAGCAACTGAGTCAGTAAATTTCTCTGTGTCTGTTCCCAATCTCTTTCATGAATTGTAATCACTGGATATACTACACGGCGGAGCCTTCTTAAGCTGATACTGCTTTGCAATTCCAAATAACCAACTTATATCAGTTGATTAGAATCTCTATTGTCCTTTAATAAAAGTAGAATTTAAATCACTGGTAAAGCCCTAATAACTGACAGTCCCAATTTCATGTATTTTGAGTTTTAACAGTTTTACTGAATTTAACAATAAGAAATATTTAGTGATTCATTATATCTATTTCAGGAAAAATATTTTGCTTTTCGAGGTAGTCTATCTATAACATACTTATATCACAGCAGCACAGTTTGTCAGTATTGGAGATTCATTACTGGTATCTTATAGTGGGGAAAGTAAAAATTTTCCCAGTTGGAAAACAATTTTAAAAAGGAATAAATATTTGACATTTAGGGCTTTGATCTTTGAACTCAGGGAGGTGCAGACTTTTGAAGCATGCCTTTGCATAACTCTGGTTCTTACTCCTGTGGTTGCTAGGAGACAACATTCCGTAGGCTGGATATCTACTTGTTGCCCAATTTGGTCACAAAGAGTGTTGTGCCACAGTTAATTTTTAGATCCCTTTATGAAAAAAAGTCACAGAGGGAGAGCATGATTACGCAGAGTTACATATCCTAGCCACTTTTTTTTTTTTTTAACCTCAGAGCATTGATTTTACTATTCTTATGTTTGCATAAAATATTTTTGAAACTTTGACTCTGCAAGCCACATTGTTTAGTGTGGGGAGGTATTTATGATTTATTTGTACAACTCAGTAGGGCACATCTGGGCACGTATGTGATTAATGTAGAAAATGTGGTGGCCTCCGTCTGTGGCCCAGACTGCAAGCTCAGCTCACAGTCCCGACTGAAGGATGGGCGCTGATGAGAAGACGCACCTCTGGCAGTGATCACATTATTTATACAAACACATCTTATTTTAGAAAAACGAATTTAATATACTTTTATATTTGTGGTAACTGATACCTAAGACTTTTATGTATTGATGAACATGTATCCTGACATTATACATTTTTTCATTGCTAACTGCCATGTGATCATTTAACAAGAGCTTCAATCTACAGGACACTGTGATATACTCATCTTCAGAAACATGAAAGTGCTGTTTCTATTATGGCACCTGCATCATTTTTTTCCGTATTGATGCGGGGAGCTAGGTGTCTCTGGCTTTGACACTGTCACTTCCCCTGGACTTGATTTTTAGTTGTCACCTGCTTTGAAGTGTTGGTAGGTGATTGTCAAGGTCCCTTTCCTTGTTAAAGTTTAATGATTATTTACTTAGTTGAAACAGACTAGATGCTCATTACATGCTAGTGCTGATAACTAGATAGGTATAGAAAAATGGCTTTCTCCAGGCTAATTGAGATTAAATGTAATTATTAGATATGCATATGAGGTGGAAAAGTGACTCCTTTATGAAACATATTTGATTCCCTTATCAGCCCTCACCCGTACCACAAGAGAATAAATAGGGAAGAAAAACTAAGTTATTATTTAGTTAAATATATATATATATATATATATATATATATATATATATATATTTATCTTTAATTTCTTTATTGGTTAGGGTATTACAAATGTGTCCTCATCCCCCCATTAACCCCCCCCCCCCCCACTCATGCTGTCATCACCCTGTTGTCCGTGTCCATTGGTTTGGCTTATATGCATGCATACAAGTTCTTTGGTTGATCTCTTCCCCTCACCCCTACCTCCCCTGCCTTCCCTCTGAGGACTGATAGTCTGATCGCTGTTTCTCTGTCTTTGGGTTTGTCCCTGTTCATTAGTCTATGTTGTTCTCTATATTCTACAAATGAGTGAGATCATGTGGTATTTATCTTTCTTTGACTGGCTTATTTCACTTAGCATAATAGTTAAATATTTTTACAAATTAATAAATAAAATGCATTTTTCTTCTTTTCCTCTTTTCTCTTGGTGTCCAAAAAGAAAGGGCCTATCTTTATAGATCTGAAGTAAGGACTCCCATGTATAACATTTTGGTTCCTTTTGTTGTATAAGGAAATATTAAATACATATAAATTTATTATAATCTGCTTTAAATAGTGTATTCCATTTATATACCTTCACCCCCCCACCCCCATATTGGCCACAGATAGCTATTAAAAACAGGTTCAGGAATGCCATGCAGCCCTTTGTAATTCTGAAAAAAGAACTCTAGAATATTATCCCAGCATATTCTGCTATGAAAATGTCCCTTACCTCCCTTTTTCCCTTTTACCAGAATCTTCAAAAACCCCTTCAGCCTTTTTGAGGTCATATGGACTCATGTTCTTACTTCCTATGATGGGTAGACAATAAAAGTGAAAAATATTTTGTAAGGGTTAATGTAAATCTTTACGAAAATTTTATATTTCGAGTTTACTTAGGTAACTCAACAGAAAGCATAAATAATTTTATTTATTTTCAGAAACAAAGAGTTTGCAGAAGCTGTCACTTTCTTCACATTGACTCTTAGTATTAATCCCTGTTTTGTGGATGCTTACATTGGACGGGGAAATTCTTACATGGAATATGGTCACGATGAAGGTGTCAAAGAAGCACAGAAGGACTTTCTGAAAGCGCTGCATTACAATCCAATATGCACAAAAGCCAGAATTTCATTAGGTTATAATTTGCAGGTAATATTACATAAGACACTTTGGGCCATGGAAGTGTTACCAGTGGGGAGAGGTCCTCATTTCTGCCGGTTGCTGGTAGGAGTGGGTTTCTTGCAGTATCCTGAGAAAAAGGATTTTCTCAGACTTACACGGAGAACAAGTAATTTCTTATTTGCATGGAATTAAATCCCTGAGTTTCCAAGGTGCCCTCTCCCTCAGTCCTGCCATAGTAGCATAGCTTTGATTTCAGCAGAGTTGAAATCAGACCCAGTGTCCAGATGTCCAGGGTTTCCATCTATGTCTTCACACTCCAGCCCAGCATCAGGCTAACTTGACTTGTGCTCCCTGCTGCAGTCCATTAGTCCATTGCCTGTGGGGTCCACATGACCATGGCCATATGGGCGAATGCAGGAGGGTCAAGAGTGAGCCAGGAGCAACAAGAGAGCAAACTCCTTTGTTTAGGGTACTATGTGTTCCTAAATTTTCATGTGCTTGCAGTGGCTCTGCCTATTCTGGCCAATAATCTCTGTTTCTAGGTTTGACTGACAGGCAAGTACCTTCCCTATATCACCCCAACTTCATTGGGCTTGCATCTATCTCCCTTTGTTGGACCTCTTCCCCTAGTGATCTGTGGGGAATGGGCCAGTGGTTCCCTGGGAGTGTAAAATTGTAGCTTCCTGGTGAAGCTGTACAGTGACATGCATGTCTGGCCTCCTTTTTTTGTGCTTCTCCTATCCTATATAATAAAAGGATAATATGCAAACTGACCCTAACAGCAGAACAACTGGGAATGACTGGTCACTATGACACACACTGACCACCAGGGGGCAGATGCTCAATGCAGGAGCTGCCCTCTGGTGGTCAGTGCACTCCCACAGGGGGAGCTCTGCTCAGCCACAAGCCAGGCTGATGGCTGCCAGCACAGCGGTGGTGGCGGGAGCCTCTCCCGCCTCCTCAGCAGTGCCAAGGATGTCCGACTGCAGCTTAGGCCTGCTCCCTGCTGGCAAGTGGACATCCCCTGAGGATCTCCCAGGCTGCCAGAGGGATGTCTGACTGCCAGCTTAGGCCAGGTCCCCTGGGGAGCAGGCCTAAGCCAGCAGGTGGACATCTCCCGAGGCGTCCCAGACTGCGAGAGGGCACAGGCCGGGCTGAAGCCCCCCCCCCCCCAAGTGCACAAATTTTTGTGATCGGGCCTCTATTCATTTTTATTTTTTTTTAATATATATTTTATTGATTTTTTACAGAGAGGAAGGGAGAGGGATAGAGAGTTAGAAACATCGATGAGAGAGAAACATCGATCAGCTGCCTCCTGCACACTCCATACTGGGTATGTGCCCACAACCAAGTTACATGCCCTTCACTGGAATCGAACCTGGGACCCTTGAGTCTGCAGGCCGACGCTCTATCCACTGAGCCAAACCAGTTGGGGCGGGCCTCTAGTTATTAATACAACAATAGCAAAAGCACCTTTTGGACAAGAGTGAGAATATATTTGACTCTTTACTGGTGATGGGGATACCTGCTCTTTCTTTGGTTAGGAACATTTTACCTTCCTCTTACTATTAGTGTCCACAGCAGCAGTAGGAAGCAGTTTCTCAGCAACCCTGCCTGGGGAACCCATCTGGGGGCTTGGTATACTAGTGAAATGAGGATCTTTTGAATCTGGTTCCTTTAACACCTTTACCCCTTTCTACCTCACCCCACATTTATAGACAACTTTTAAAATTTGCCTGATGAGCTTCACATATAAGAACCTGGCCAGCACTTGTTTCACTAGCTCATATCTGGACTTTCATAACTTCTCTCCTATTGAATTAGTGGAAAGCTAAAGGGAATAAACAATGTATGAAAGTTTTGAAGTGGACTCCAGCCATGCAGTGGGTCAGGCAACCACTGTATAGGGACTTCTGAATTTAGGGCATCTTCCAAATGGCAGTGAATTAGAACATACTGGGAAGGCAAGACACCCGGCATTTGTCCTTCCAGCAAGATGGAAGAGTGCTACTCTGTGTGAGGCCAAGCAGCCCTCTGAGTGCTTTTTGGGACACTCTGTCCTGACCCATGCACTCAAAAAGTTCTTTGCACTAATAAAATATGTTTATTGTGAGAAATGCTCACCTGTCCGAGTTCAGATAACGGCCGCAGAAACAGAAGTATGGCAAAAGTGAGACTTTTTAAATTTTATTTTATTGTTTAAAGTATTACAGATAGCACTACATATGTCTCCTTTTTTTCCCCATTGACCTTCCCCCGGCTTCCTCTACCCCCCCCCCCCCACACACACACATGCCCTCACCACCCCCCCCCCCCAGTGTCTTGTGTCCATTGGTTATGATTATATGCATGCATACAAGTGCTTTGGTTGATCTCTTACCTCCCCCCCCCCCCGCCCAACACTCCCCAGGCTTCCTGCTGTAATTTGACAGTCTGTTTGATGCTTTGCCTCTGTATCTATCTTTTTGTTCATCAGGTTATAATGTTCTTTAAACGAGACTTTTAATACGTCCATGAGAGCGGGTGTTCATCGCTATTGTATTGGTACACTTGGGGCAGCCAGCACAGTCTATTTATTCAGTCTCCCCTCCAGTTCCTCATTGGCTGAGTACTATGGGGTCACCTGTTTCATCATACATCGCCTAGGTCTTGCTATCTTCCATTGGACCATTTAAAAAATTGGATTGAGGCCCTTTCTAGCCGCCTCCATCTCCCCCTGTCTAGCCGAGGCGGGCACTGGGGGGGGGGGGGGGGGAGGGAGTTGTGTGTGGGAAAGAGGTTTTCCACCATGATGTTGGCCCACATACACAGTTCTTTGTTCCTACATCCTCCCTCCTCCTCCCTGCATTCTGTTTGCCCTGGGGAAATTCAGCAAATTCCATCAAAACCTGACCATGCTGGAGATGATCACAGAGGTCCATTTCCTACAGAGTGACCTCCTTGAAATAAAGGGCTGAAAGTGCTGTATTCTCCAGGAAAAGGAACTAAGAAATCTTAAATTCTCTTTTTATCCCTTTTAATTTCAAAAATTTAAACACTCGGCAAAAAAGTATATTCAAATATTGTAAATTGCAGAAATTTCTTTTAAAATGCAATTAAAGTTGATTTTTTTTCATTTAAAAATAAGTGAGTTTGGCTGGTTTAAGATTACTAATATTGAAAGTGGTTGTTGGGATTGGTGGTTATAGTGAAATATTCCTAAATTCTTCTTAATAAGGGAAATAAGCTTGCCTTCTAAGAATTAAACATAAAATTAGCCATTATTGGATCACAGTAGAAAGTTGCAAAGTCAATTTAAAGAGATATACATGATGACTACCAAAGCATCTAAAGCTGACTGTAACCCAGTGGAATGAGTTATCATCATTTATTGCATTTAATAAGCATTTAGTGAGCACATAGTATAGGAAAGAACTGATCTAGGCCTAGGAATAGAGTAATGAACAAACTATACTTGGTTCTCCTTGGAGTTTACTCTCTAGTGGAGAGATGAGCATCATGTAGTCATATGATTCGTTATTTAGTTATATGCATGACTAGTGCAACAAAGGAAAGGGCTGGGTTTTTGGAACATTTATAGCAAGGAAACCAAGTTTTTAGGAGTAAAGGAGGGCTTTTAAAGAAATTAACATTTAAATTGAAGTGTGAAATACTAGTAATTAATCAGGCATAGGAGTTGGGCGTAGGACACAGTGTTAGGATAGCGAAAGAGTCGGAGGGCCCAGGGAATGGAATGTTAGGGATTGTGGGGAGTGATGTGAGGTGAGACTAGAGAATTGAATAATAACTGGAGGCGAAGGCCTTGCCAGTAAATTAAAAATGTGAGGATCAGTAACTAGAGCAGTGACATTCGGTTCATGTTTTATGAAGATGTCACTGGATGCAGATCAACATGGAAAAGGATTAAAAAAAACATTAGTCTGAGGAAGGATTGAATCAGGAAAGGAAGGACTGAAGGAGAGTTCAGATCCTCCTCAGGGGCCAGTGATCCTTTGCTCAGTAAATACAGTTCTCCTTACTGTGTGCTTAGCACTAGAGTTATGGAAGTGAGCAAAACAGACGTTGTCAGGCGCTGATGACGGATATAACCCTACTGTGAGGCTGTTTGCAGCTTAATATTCTAATAACTTAATCTCAGTTTGCCTGATTCCTTGTTATGAAATGTATTTGTAATGGTTGTGGTGAATTTCACATAATTTGCCAAGAGGGAGAAGATTTGCTGGTTAAAGAACAGAGTCTTATTAGTTATATCTGACTAGTTATATGCCTTATTAGTTTTATGCAAGAGCCACTGGGCTCATCTTGGTTAATGTGAGTCAGCTTCTGAGATTCTGGCCAGTGGGTGTTTGAGCTCATGGGAATACTTGTAAGGGACAGGCCCTGGACCGTGTTGAATTCATCAACTCACTGCCTTCCCGCAAGGAGGTATTTAGTTGCCAGTTGGTCTTCTCTAGGAAATATTCTGACATCATTCTATGCACAACATCCCTCTCCTGACCTTTTTTCTTGTTTTCCAGTTGTCACTAAGGTTAGTATAAATAGATGCTTCATAGATTTGCATGCATTTTCCATGGAATATGTATAGTGATCCTAAAATTCCAGGTGCTTGTACAATTTATCAAAATAGGTTTTACACCAGTAGTTTATGCATTTATTTATTCAACACATATTTATTTTATTATGTATATTATGCATAACCAGAGACCCAATGCCAAGCAAATAAATACAATTTCTGCCTGTGTATGCAGAGCTCAATTTTGTGGTGATTGTCCAAAGCATATGTGTTTCACAAGGTGGCTGTGATTTTATGTTGTCCAAGATTGGTATGAAATGACTCTATTAGATTTATTTTAATTAATTAAAAATTTGGTGTAAATACTCAGAGGTAATTATAGCCTACTTCTTGTTTAAAATATCTTACATTTAGCACTGTATAAATATATGCTTTCTAAAGGTTTTATTTGATTAAGTTAGAATCAAATATTTGTCATGTTATGGATAATTTCCTACTTCATGTAAATGGAAAATTATTTTAGGCCCAAGAAAAATTCCAGAAAGCTTGGAACCACTTTACCATTGCCATAGAAGTTGATCCAAAGAGCTACCTAGCCTATGAAGGAAGGGCTGTGGTCTGTCTTCAGATGGGTAATAACTTTGCTGCAATACAGGATATTAACATTGCCATTAAGGTAAAAATCCACTTAGATTGTGTTATAATTAGCATAAATTAACACCATCAATGAATAGGGTTAAGTAAAATATTCTGTTACGTTTTAAAGTGATTTGTAGAGAAAATAATATATGTATTTTGTTCCAAGAGATTCCTAAAGAATTATTATGGCTTGCAAGTTCTCAGTAAATGCAATTTATAGTTTTATGGTGGCAATATTATTTTGTAATAAAAAATGAATGCAAAAAAAATAATATTCTGGGTTTGAAGGAACTACAGGAAGAATAATGTAATTCCCCAGGTTCTTCTGTAGTGAAAAGGCAAATAAATACCTCAGGTTTTATAGACAATGAAAGAAAATCTTCCTCTTTATTTTCTAGATTTTTGGATTCTGTTTCTGTTGCTTCAAGTAGATGTTGTAATCTTTGAGGTGAGAAAAAGGGAAGACCTGAAAGATCATTGCTGCTGCTTAGAACAAATAAACATGTTAACTATTTAATTTCTTTTCCAGCTTTAACAGAGCTAAGCAGATAAGCTTTCCCCCATGTTCTTTGGAAAGGAACTGAGTAAAGCACTAAGATTATTTATTTTATTATAACCAAAATCAACAAAGTGTTGACATTGAACCAACTTCATACTGAGACCTCTCACAAAATATTTGCTCTAATAGGGCTTCACCTGAACTATAAAGTTACTAGCTTCCCACAAGTAGATTTCATAACGTTCATTTTTGCAGATATGAAATCAGAGATAAATACTATTCCCAGATGCTAAATACTCATACTATTAAATTGCAGATCAATACTACAGCAGAATTCTTAACAAATCGTGGTGTGATTCATGAGTTTATGGGCCAGCAACAAAATGCAATGAGAGACTATCAAGCAGCAATTTCTTTAAACCCTACATACGCACTGGCTTACTTTAATGCAGGAAATATCTACTTTCACCACAGGCAGTTTTCCCAGGTAATGTGAGTTTTCCTTAACATTTTCTTTTTACATTAAATGCTTTCTTTGTTATATATAGTTTTAAAATTCAGTCCTTATATCCTAGGCTAATCATTCATTAGTTTTTTTAAAACAAATGTCCTTCGTAAGAATGTTTATAATTAATTAAATGTTTAACCTCTCTGGATTTATTCTCCTCATTATCACCATCCATTCAACATTTGTCCAGCAAACATTATTTTGGACTTACCAAAGTGTCTTGCTATCCATTCTTTATCTTTTTGAGTCAGAAGCTAATCATTTAATGTCACCTTTTCATTTCTATTGTAATAAATTACTATGGTTACGGCTTTTCTCCAAGTACTGCTTTTAGCAGTACCCTACATATTTTGGTCTTTGAAGTTTTAATTTTTGTTTTCCCCAAATTTTGCACTTGCAATTTTATTTCCCCTTTGACTCAATAATAAATTAATAAGGCATTTGAAATGTCCAGATAGACAGACTTTTATATTTTCTAGTTTGGGTTCTTATTGAGTTTTTTAATGTGGTCTAATATATGGCAAATATTGGAAAACATTAAAGGGTTCTTTTCAAAGAAGTATAAGATATACCTTATTAATTATATTTTTAATTAGTCAATATCCATTCTTCTCTTTTTTTCATTTGGTTGACCTTGGACTGAGAAAGGTTTATTGGTTTGGTTCTATATAGTTTTTGATATTTCTTGCAATTTATGCTTTATGAAAATTGCTGCTGCATTATTTCTTGTATAGATATTAATACATATTATATATGCACTATATATTGTAACCTTCAGCATTATAAATGTCCTTCTTTGTTTTTTAAAGCTCTTTAGAATAAATCAGATCTGACCTCTGATTCCATTTGGTTTGCTTTTGCCTGGTATTTCTTTGTCCTTCCTTTTATTTTCAACATTTAGAATTTTTTGTTTAAGATGTGTCTCTTTTGTGTAGCATAGAGTTGGATTTTGCTTGGGGGCGGGCTGAACAGGGTTAATGGGGGCAAAGGGATACTTATGTAATACTTTCAACAATAAGGAATTATTTTTTAAAACGAAAAAAAAGCCAATTTGAATGTAATTATCTTTTAATAGGTGGGTTAAGCCCATTTTCATTTTGGCATAATCAGTATGTTTGTTTTTGTTCTGTTATTTCTGCTTTCATGTATTTTAGAAGGATTTTGCTCTGTGGTCTGTTTAATTTTTTTCAGTTTTTCTGATATTGAGAAAATTTACAGTTTTGTCCTACTGGCTGCCTTTATAATAGTAGTTTTTAGAAATAGTACCCTAATTTCCTTGTATTTTTAGTTTCTCTACTATGAACAACAATAAATTACTCTCCCTCTCATCTATTATTCAATTTTACTTAAAGTATTCTCTTTTAAATTTTTTTTCTATTTGTATTCTTAAATATGCTTGAGTTTATTGTATCAGCTTACTATCCACTGTCACTGTTATCCCATTTTCTTGTGAGTTTCATAATTCCTATACTGCCAAAGGATTTAATATTTGCGTCTTATTTTGTTACTCTTATTTCAAATTTTCATCTTAGTTCTCCAGTTAAGTATGTTCAATTCACATTACCAGATTTTTTGCCAGTTGCCATCCCAACCAATTATTTCTTGGTTGTCTGAAATTGGTCCCTTAATAGAGTCCTGAGAAAGGGCTCATGCGAACAATATTCCTTGGATTTTTTTCATGTTCATCACTGTTTGCCTCTAGCCTTTATATCTTAAGGAGACATGTCTGGGTTTAAAACCCTTGGCCTCTTTTTTTCCCCTTGAGTATCTTGTGTTGTTTCCCTGTTTTCTGATATTGTAGGTTGATGTCAAGAAGCTGAATACAATTCCATTTTTGTTATTTGTGACTTTTTTTTTTTGGTTAGGATAACCAAATGTTTTTAATGAAAAGTTTCAAAATGCACGCCTTAGAGTTGACCATTGGTGTCAAAGTTAATAAGCACACAGTATGTGGTTTCAATATGTAGATTTCAGAAAAGTTTTGTTGAATTCAGTGAAAAATTTTTTTCTGTTTCATGGTTTTGATTTTCTTCATTGGGCAACTCTATCTTCTGTCCTTTAGCTTCTATATATCAAGTGTTTCTCTCATTTCTTAAACCTCTTAATTTCTTTTTCATGTTTGTTGCCTTCTTCACTGTGTTTTTTGAGATATTTATTGTCCCCTTGTAGACCTTAGAATTCAAGTTCTCTTTAGATTTTTGTTTGTTTGTTTGTTTTTGTAGTTCCATATTTCCATGTCAGACCTCATTGGCCATAACTTTTCTGAGATCCTTTGTTTCTGAATTACTTCTTTCTTAAATGGAATTGCTTTTATAATGAATTTTTTCTAGTTCATTTTGAAATGCTACGTTATAATCTTTAATCTAGACTGTAGCAGTACTTTTTTTCTGGTGAGTTTTTACTTTCAAAAAATTAAATTACTTTCATCGTTGTTTTTGCCATGAAGGCAGGTGAATTACTTTTCTGTTACTCATATTTGAATGTAAAAATTATTTTCCTTTTCTAGTAGCAGAGGTTCTTGTGGGAAATAGCCTATCTCGGTTTGGAAGGCTATCACAAGGTCTGTTTCTCTGAGCTTTTCACAGCCCTTGCCTTCTAAAATAATGCACTCGTTTTAAAAAGTTGTTTTTATTGCCTGCATTTTTTGAGACCTGTCACCTTTATATTCTCCTTCACCACTCAAAACTGTCACCACATTTCTTTTTAAAAAAATATATTTTTATTGCTTTCAGAGAGGAAGGGAGAGGGAGTGAGAGAGATAGAAACATCAATGATGAGAGTCATTTATTGGCTGCCTTCTGCACGCCCCCTACTGGTGATTGAGCCTGCAACCCAGGCATGTACCCTTGACCAGAATTGAACCTGGGACCCTTCAATCCACAGGCCGATGCTCTTTCCACTAAGCCAAACCGGCTAGCACTCACCACACTTCTTAATAAAACAAACTTTGAGGCTTTCATGTGTGAAGAGGCTATGGTTCTTATCTATATTTCACTGAAAAAATTCAGCAAATATTTCCTGTTTCCACTTAGCTTCTTTCAATCTCCACATATTTATGATGTACCTGCCATGTGATAGGCATTTATAAATGCCCTGAGGATACAGAAGTAAACAAGGTATAAAAGGATTCTCTTATGATGTAGCTTACATTTTATTGGAGGAAGAAATATAAAATAAATAAGAAAATATTTGAAGTGATATATGCCTAATACAGTTTCACATAAGCATTATTACACCAGTATTAGCATATCTGTGAGACTATATAAGATTGCCTGGTAACTAGTATAGATGGAGAGAAAGGGTTTAAGGAGCAAGTCCTGGGTAGCACCAATGTTTAGAAATGAAGCGGAAAGGAGAGGCCGGAAAGTAGACTGAGGCAGGAGCATCCAGCCAGGATGAGCAGGAGAACATATCACTCACTCTCAAGGATAAGTGTTCTGAGAAGGGAAAAGTGTCCTGTGTCAAATGCTGCTGAGGCGTCAAGGACAAGGAGGATGGAAGAGATCACTGAGGACTTTGGCAAGAACACTGTTGGAACAGCAGTGCAGCAGAGGCTTGAGTGGGAAGGGTTGGGGAGAAAACGTGAGGTGAAGAATTAGGGACCATTCCGCTGGTTCAAGACATTCTTCTGTGAAGAGTAGTGAAATGGGAGTAGTAGCTAGCGTGGGTTAAGAAGTGTTGTTGTTGTTTTTTTTCAGATGAGGGCTAATTGATTCATGCCTCTATAATAATGAGAAGGGTCTAGGACTGGTTGGCAAACTGCGGCTCGCGAGCCACATGTGGCTCTTTGGCCCATTGAGTGTGGCTCTTCCTAAGCCTTAGGAGTACCCTAATTAAGTTAATAACAATGTACCTACCTATATAGTTTTAAGTCTAAAAAATTTGGCTCTCAAAAGAAATTTCAATCATTGTACTGTTGATATTTGGCTCTGTTGACTAATGAGTTTGCCGACCACTGATGTAGACTTTAGGATAAAGGTAGAAGTTATTGATGCAGGAGAGAGTGGCAGGGACAATTAGGATCAAAACCTTTGAGAATTTGATGGGGTTAGAGTTTGGAAGTTGCAGGGGTAGCCTTTGCTTGGAGCAGGGTGCATGATGCATTATGTCATAAGGGAAGGCAGAGAGGGCACAGCTGAATATAGTTTGGTAAATATTGATAGTAGGCATTCCTACTGGTTATATTTCCTCCATTAAATACAAGCATCAGTTGGCAGTTGGGGGTGGACAGTTAAAAAGAGAAACGGGACTCTCATAGACAGTTAGCCTGGAGGTCAAATCACCCCTGGTATTACCGACAACAATCAAGGCTTAACTACAAGACTGCACACAAAGACCACTATGGGGTGCACCAAGAAAAGATATAAAAATGCGGAGACAAAGAAACAGGACGCAAATGTCAGAAATGGAAGATATAGAGCTCAAAACCACACTTTTAAGGTCTCTCAAGAACTGTCTAGAAGCTGCCGATAAACTTAGTAAGGCCCTCGAAAAGACTGGTGAGACCGCCGATAAATGTAATGAGATCCTCAAGAAATCTAATGAGACCCTCGATGTTGTGATAAAGAACCAACTAGAAATTAAGCATACACTGACTGAAATAAAGAATATTATACAGACACCCAACAGCAGACCAGAGGAGCGCAAGAATCTAGTCAAAGATTCGAAATGCGAAGAAGCAAAAAACACCCAACTGGAAAAGCAAAATGAAAAAAGAATCCGAAAATACGAAGATAGTGTAAGGAGCCTCTGGGACAGCTTCAAGCGTACCAACATCAGAATTATAGGGGTGCCAGAAGATGAGAGAGAGCAAGATATTGAAAACCTATTTGAAGAAATAATGACAGAAAACTACCCTCACCTGGTGAAAGAAATAGACTTACAGGTCCAGGAAGCGCAGAGAACCCCAAACAAAAGGAATCCAAACAGGACCACACCAAGACACATCATAATTAAAATGCCAAGAGCAAAAGACAAAG